ACTTTTATTAAAATAAAACCATTTAAACTGGGTGTTCGGATTTATATATGCTATATGTCCATATAGTCGTGACAAACTCCTATACGTAGCATTTAGTCTCGGATATATTTTTGGACGTTTTACAAGGCACTTTTCAATTGCTGTTTAAAGAAGAACCTTGAAATTTTGTGTGAAGATGTGATAGACTGGGTGCGGCAGAGAGAATGGACGGTTTTAAAAAAATCATAAATCAGTTAATTTTTATCCGAAAACAAATTTATTGATGGAATCAGGTTCACAAGGGAGATTGATATCAAGTGTGGAAAATTACATCAGGCATGTGGTGGCCGAAATCGTTGATGCAGTGCTGGAGGCGTTCTTGGAAGTTCGCGTAGACCCTCTCCAACATCGCTCCCTCAACTTGGGCGACTCCCACGCTAATTTCGCCCTTCAATTCGTCCAGAGTTCGGGGCTTGTTCGCGTATACTCTAGCCTCGAGGTGTCCCCATAAGAAAAAATCGCATATGGATAAATCTGGGGACCGAGGAGGCCAATGAACATCGCCAAACCTGGAAATAAGGCGACCAGGGAAGACAGGGCGAATAACGTCCACTCACGTCGGATTGGAACACGTCGCCGTCATAATTCAGGTAGAAGGAAGTTGGTGATCATGTCGACGTAGCGCTCTGAGTTCACGGTAACATCACGACCATTACCGTCTTCGAAGAAGTAAGGGCCAATGATGCAAGTTTGCGATACAGCGCATCAAAACGTTACTTTTGGGCTGTGCAGCGGTCTTTCGTGTAACTGTTGCGGATTTTCATTAGCCCAATAACGACAATTCCGCTGGTTAACCACGCTGTTTAGTGAAAGTGGGCTTCGTCACTCATAGGCGAAAACGCGGTGCTCCACCGTCCAAGGCTCCATAACGACAACTGGTAAATAATGCTAGGATCTCACGAGTCAAACGGCACCCTCCCCACCTCTCTCGTAGACGGAGGCGGAGAGTACTGCCCATCCCAAAAACGTCCGTCCTCTCTGCCGCACCCTGTATAAAAACTCAGAATATCCATTAAAAAACAACTGAATATCGCTTCCTGTTTAACTGGAAGTGAGTATGAAACAAGAATTTTAAGCAACGATGTATCACAAGTTGTCATTCTTTCTCAAAATAACGGCGTAAATGGCAAGCGAAGAAGTCGAAATAAACGTCCTAGCGTACGTAGAATCTAAAAGTACTGGTTCTACTCGCGAAATAGGTGAGCAGTGCCAAATTAACACGACAGTGCAAGAAAAATGTTAAACAAACATGTCTGTAAATATTTTAGAAGTACCAAATTCATCCCATCTGTTTGAAAATGGTTCACCAAGACGCCTTAATTATTGCAACTCGTTTTTAAATAATCTGAGCATAAATGCTGTCTTCCATCACCATATTATTTTTTCGGATAAATCCGGGTTTACGAATGTAGCCTTCCAGGAACGTTTTGGAGTGAATGTTTGGTTAGGCATAGCAGGGCTTAATATCATTGGTCCTATATTTTTCTACCAACCGTTAAATGGTGATATGTACTTGGAATTTTTACAAATCCAAATAGAACATTTTATAGAAAATCTGCAGAACAACGAACATGTATTATACCAGCAAGATGGCGCTCCTGCCCACAACTCTAGGGTTGTAACAAATTACTTAAATAAGCGATTCGGTGGAAATTGGCTAGGAACCAACGGACCAATCCGTTAGCCTGCAAGGTCGACAGATTTAGCCCCTCTAGATTTTTCAATTTGGGGCTATTTAAAAGAAAAACTTTATGCCACTCCTCCACCGTCTCTAGAAGTAATGGAAAATCGAATTAGAACATCCATTGAAAAAATATCTCATTTACGAAAATTGCTTATAGAGAACAACTAGAGAGTCACGTATGTCAACAGCTCAGAGGCCAGCGCATAGAACACTTAGTTGAATTATTTTCCTAATTTTTAATTAGTAATTTATCTGCTAAGTTATTTGTTATTTAGTTACTTAGTTTTTACTATGCTAATTTCGTTATTGTTATTGTTCTCGTTAGAAATGAAAAAAGAAATACAAAAGAAACGTACTGTTGACCATATTCCTTTCGGAAATAAGACGCTGTTTATTTTTAGCATTTAGGAAGCTCCGTTTCTTATTCAAAATTCTGAGAAAATGTTAAATACATTTTGACATTTTAAATAAAAACAAATATGGTCCCAAACTTATGACAATTTTTTTGGTTTTCCAATTCATTATATAGAAGCGGCCAGAGAATCCATTTGGCTTTCAGAATTAGCGGGTAGTTTGGCAAAAAATTCATAGATACTGTCAAAGCGCCGCCATATTGAATTTGGCATAAATGCTATCTATGCCGCCATTCTGAAAAAAAAGACAACTTGTGATACCTCGTTGAAAATGAAATTTTAAACTCTATGCAAATATGTAAAAATATATACAATGTCCTATTAAAAATTCTTGTTTTATACTCACTTCCTATCAAACGGGACGCGATATTCAATTGTTTTTTAATGGATATCTGAGTTTTTATAAGTCATATCTTCACACAAAATGTCAAGGTTCTTCTTTAAACAGCAATTAAAAAGTGCCTTGTAAAACGATATCGTTGACACCCGGTATAGTATTGGGTCGGTTATCTTCAGGTGGAATACGTTAGTCAATGGTAATATGTAAAGCTGTGATTTCATTTATTTTCCCACGCACAAGGTCTCGTTCTTCTGTGGGCTCTCTTTATTAACGTGTGTTTGTTTTAAAATGATTGGCCGTTCATTCATAAAAACGTTAATGTTAATCAGGCATTAAAAATATTTGATGGCTAAATTAGTAGTAAGGTCGTAAGATGTCTTCCCATGGGACCTCGGTTGGCCGCGTGGGTCAGAGTGTCGTGCTACTCATCAGCCGGCCGGCCGGGCCGCGAGTTCGAATCTCGCCTTCGCCATGGATGTTGTGTGTTTGTTTTACGCAGCAGCGGTGTCCGCAGTAGTAGACTCTTCGGTCTCCTGATCAGTCGCCGTGCGCTGTGCGGGTTCGAGTCCCGTCCCAGGAGAAATTTTTCTCTTGGATATGGATGCTGTGATTGTCCGTAGGTGGTAGATGGTCTCTCACTGTCAAACGCGGAGGTACCACCCGGCGGTTCTCGTAGGCGGAGCCAGAATGTGTGCATGTTGCATGCACACGTGTTCCCTCGCCAGAGTCCGTGTCGCGTCCCCCCTTTTCCCATGTATCCCCCTATAGCCACACGGTACCCAATGGGTGCTTAGGCCTTAGGCCTTCGTGGTAGTTGGAGTATAAAGAAAAAATATGGAACAGATGTCTTTGGTAGAAACATTAAAGGCGGAAGGAAAATTAATTGGTTTAATGATAACTTGCGCACCGTGAGACCACTTCAGCCCCCTCATTGATGGGCACAAAATAGACTCGCAAATAGTGACCAATCACGATGTTAGTAATTATAGGACACAAAATCGACATGCTATCAATACTGCTAAAAACAACAGGTATAGCGCAGAAACTTGCATTCCTACATCTAATCATATTACATCCTTGAAAAATTCCGAAGGCACTGATATCCAAGACTTCAATCTCAATATCATAAAGACAGTAAAGAATTTAGTTATCGTTTCACCTAATGTGTGCATTAAAAATAGTATATTTCCCAAAATTCTAAAGATCTCTAAAGTCGTTCTAATATTCAAAACCGGAGCTTTCAAACTATCGGCTAACTACTTTGATCTCGTATTTTGCAAAGATTTTTCAAATGCCGCTGAAGGATCAGCTTCCCCATCATCCTTACTCAAATCACCTTTTACATTAATCCTGGCAGTACTAAGATCAAGAACAGCTAGTATGTTTTATTAGCTGTACTTTCCTCAAGGATACTTTCGCGGATCACTGCTGTTTTTATTATATATCAATGGGTTTCCTAATAGCTTGCCAGATACACTCAATAGTGCATTGTTTTTATATGGTGATGACACCGCTTTGGATGTTCTGATGTACGACTATGTCCAAATAACCTCGTCAAGAGTATCTCAGTCCGACCTTGATGATTGGCTTGCTGCCAGTAAGCTATCACTAAATGCTTATAAGACTGTGTCAATCATATCCAGCCTACGCATCATTAGTTGGAGTCTTCAAATTATGTGTAAATTACTAGGTGTACATAGCGACTGCACTTTGACTTGGGATGCACGTGCTCGTTATGTTGTGAATGGTTTGTCCTGCGTTATCTACCTCATTTGCAATCTAAAAGACGCAATATCTGACAAAGCGTTATTGACCAGTTGTCATGAATATTTCCACTCCAAAATGACATGAAATTTTGGTGTTAGGTCACCCTTCACGTATACAAAAAGTTTTTGGTATGCAAAAACTATGATCGATTCATCAAATGGGGGTACTGGCTCTACCATGCGCCTACATCTTAATTTGTTTGTTGTACGTGAAAAGCTACTTGCAATAGAGATAAAATTTGCCCTAGTGGCCATCGCATTGACAAAATCGGAGACGGGGCAAATTTTTATAATGTTAAATTTTTTGGCGTGTTGCCAAAACTTATCAAATTGCGTACTGCGTATTTATGCTTTCTACAAGAAACTCAAAGGCGATCTAACAAGAAAAGCGATCTTCTTATTTTTTTTTTGGTCGGTCCCGCGTTTCCGCATGTGTTAATGTTCATATTTATTCTACTCTTCCCCACTGTACCGCTTCTGAATTTATCATACTTCCTCGCATCTGGGACTGTGTCAATGTCCTTATTTATTTATACTGTGTTTCGGTTATGCGCTTTGTGTGTCTGTATGTGTTATAGCTTATTTTCCATTTATTCTAATTATTCTCTGCCCCTTGAAGCAGTCATACCCTTTAAACGTGTACTCTTTTGACGTGTGTAAATACCCAGTAAGGGCAATAAATTATCATTGCTATCATTATTAAGCTAGCGTATCTATACGTGAATCTACCTATTTATGAGTATTGTTTTTTTTTGCAGGAGAACACCCGGAAGCGATGCAACATGGCGGCCACCAGAGAATAGGTCCTCCTCTCTGCTCTCTCGCATTCATCTCCTACGTCCTGTTGGCTTACTGTTAAGTTTAACATACACACGACTACATACTTTGGTGACCGAATCCGAAAACTACTGCTCCGAAGAATGTTTGAAAAAGGCATAGTTAGATAGAACGTAAGGACATACTTGACTTTGGTGATGTTATGAAAGGTCCTTGAAAGGCATGTGCTGAGATTTACCGAAGGCTTTCGTTGAGAGGTCAAACAAAATGAGCTTCTAGGTCATACTTTAATACTAACCGACATCTAGAGTTCTGATATTGTCAAGAGAACTGGCTGCACAGCTACTAATTGTAATACATTATATTCCATCAGTACTTTCAAGGGCTTACACTAAACGATAACCATTGATAACTAAATAGTGACTATTTGACAGTCATTCGTTTTCTCTGCATCTTGCTAATATAAATATTTGGAGCGAAGGTTCTCGACCAACTGAAGACTCACTAACACAAATTTGCTTTAATTTGCTTTTACCGGTGCTTCAGTTAGTTCAGTTGACAATGTTAATAGCTCTCGAACCCTTTCGGAGTTGACCTCATATGCCATTTGCGTTCACGTTAGATAATGATATTCTGCCAAGATATGGCTCGTCTTGCCGGAATAGCGACCTGTCTGCCTTACAAATGGCAGTGCATCATTCAGTATACATAGTAGTTAGTACTACACTATTGTTTGCTTCTTAGTCACAAGTGCTGTGGTGTGTGTTTCTCTATTCGTTTGTCATTCATCCTCACAGATTTATGGTCCGTTTTGCTTAGACCTATTCTGCGTCGGCAAACCTGAACCATAATAATTCAACATTAAGAAACTAATTTAACTGAAAGGTTACTTTATATTTGTGCAACATCCTTTTGAGTAATTGTTTTTGGATACAAGCATGTTGAGAAGGGATTTGAGAAGAATTACACTAGTATGCGTATACGATCACCGGCAACGCCATTCTCCAAATGATGATTCGCCAAGAAGCAACGTACCAAAATCATGCTTTTCAGTAGTCTTAGAAGAGCTTAACCCCGCTTCCAGTATACATAACTGAGTTACTTACCAGTTTCTCACCTACATTGTTGTCTCTTCTATCTAAACTGGTATCAACCTAAAGCTCTATTGTTTGATCTCCAACAGACTATACCTTTAGACTTTTGTACGTTGTACATAGTTCATATGTAGACCTCCAAAGATTTGAATCTGGTAATGTGATCAGGGTACATCACACTCGCATTTTTTGTGGTATAAGTTATACGTTATATACGAAAACTCTATTTACATTGATAAAACACTATACCTCTGTTCACTACAAAGTTAGATTTGTAGCAAAAAATATGGACCCTGAGCATTTTTTACTAAGGTTTGTTGACGAGTTACAAAAACTTTTATTTTTGAGAAAAAGGCCTGATTGAAACGAGATTCTGGATTAAACTGAACAAAAACTGATTCCGTATTGTCTGTTCATCAGTATCGATACAAAATGTATTAAGCTAGTCCAATCACGTTACCAGGTGCAACCATTTTTGTGGGATGGTCGAATGTAATTTGGTTTGTAAATTCAGGGTACTCCAGAAAATTCAATTTAATGCGACTTAATTTTGCCAAAGTTGTTATACTCTCAATGGTCATATTTTCAGTTTTTCTACACACTTTTTACATTAAGTCTTGTTTAATTAAGGTGAAGCTACGGTAGGTTTGCAGTTTTATGTTAGTGTATGTTATCTTATCCTGGAGTCTCCTGAACGCTTCAGATATTTGTTATATTTATTAAAGCTGTATTGGAAGTGTATTGAATGTGATTGGTGGACATTTCATTGCATCTTCGGAGATAAAGACGTTTACTTTCTTCGGTGCTGATTATTCACACATCCTTGCCTATCATATAGTATCGAAAACAGGGTTTGCCTTATGGTCTGGTTTGATTTTCGAAATATTTTAATTAATTCACTTCGTTTGTCGACGAAACCATTTTCCTTATTTAAAAGGTCATAGGCAGCATACTCTCAATTAAATATAGAAACGGACAATATTCCACCTGTCTAATTTTTCAACTTACGTCTGTTGATGCTTCAAATACTTACTCAACATTGTAACTGTCTCTCTAAAAAAAAAAGGTGTTTGACATGACTTACGTGAAAGATTAACTTGACAAATAAGTGGACGTTGAGGCGAAAAATAAAGGCGGTTAATTTTGCCGCACGAACCCTTGCATTTTAAGCTTATGCTTGCTGTACATTTAGGTATATTCTCATTGCATTAATGAAAAGTTTGAGGTTAATGTGCAACTTCAGTTGCTGAAAACGTGAATCTCTGAATTCAGGTCAATCTACAAGTACATTAAAAACAGTATAATATAATCATAACTTTCATATAGCGGGACCGTAATATTTTATACTCCTCCTTCTCCCATCGTAATTTGTTCCATCTGTGATATTAGGGTGGAATAAAGCATCATTTATGCCCCTAAATTTTTGTTCCGTGTCGAGAACTCCACAAAGCGGCTCACTTTTAGTTTTTGAGGCGGGTCTGGAAGATTATGTACTTTGTTCCATACATGAGCTATAAATAGAGATTTCCGCATTTGAACTTCATTATACAGTCATACCGATTCCCTTTTCGTCTAAGCTGCATATTATCGTAAAACTATGGGTATATTGTTTTACAAGCTTTGGTGTTTGATTCAATGTCTCTGAGCTCCTCACATTTTCATAGAATCTGGGCCTTTATCTGCATTTTAACGTTTCAAGTCCCATTTCCTGTAGCGGCTCAAAATCTTTGAAAAGTTACCTTTTGCTGGTAAGGATGTCCTTAAAATTGTACTAAAATACAAATAATCTCTTGATAGTATCTGTGAATTTGAGAAGTGAGTCACTTTCGGGCGAGTACTTTTATACACCTTAGTCGCATAGTGCCGGATGATATAATGTGCGAGATCAATTATGGCCGTCCCGAAATAAGTATGTGTAGAAGGTTTGTACTACTGATAGTAAGCATTACAATATATTCGTATCAATATTATGTTTTCAACTTATTTTTCCAAATTTTTAAAAACCACGTGCCTGTTGTCAAACTCATAAACTAAGATTATTGAACATATGTTACGTTCCTTGTCTATGCTCGGGTACCGAAAAAGAAGAGAACAGGAAAATTCGTCGAGTGCCACTGTTACCGGGGGCATCTCTTTGAATATGGCGGGATACTGTGCACAGTCTTTGTCAGTTCAATAGTACGCCGCACTGGAAGAAGAGCGCTATGTATTGTGTTGCTCTTTCCTATTTCAGTACTATTTCAAAGGGAGGCAAGATGCAAACGTTGGTTGGCTGTTGTTTTCCGTCTTCTAACATATCAAATATTGTAACCAAGAGGGTCAGCTACCTTCAGCTATACTGTAACTAAGCATTGCTTAGTTTTCAATCCTTTCCAGGTAATTTGAAAGACTGGGTTCAATTGTCAAACTGACATATCGCAAATATTTCATTGCTTATTTTAAAATGAAAGATTAGGATGTAACATCTAGGAAAATATGATTTTTTACCAAAGTTGCATTTTTGGTGGTAATAAAATACTGTTTTATACGCTGGTTTTTTGGTTTACTGCACAAAAGGATGCTCTAAATTATAAGGATATAACATACACTGTATAGTACTAAAAAATTGATATTCAACTGTGAAAAATCGTTGGTTTTTCAAAGAAAATCAAAACTAGCCATGTAAGAAGCTAAAATAACAGTTCAAAATAAATACCTAAATCATGGTATTTACTTGGTAAACTGTGTACAGGTGTTGTATTGTGTTTTCCAATGTCTCCTTGAAATTCCTTAACCATTTTTTCGCTTATTTTGAATGAGATCAAAGTTTTTGCGTTTATAAAAAATATTTGAAAGAAAAATTACTCTCAATGGCCATTTTATAACGTTCATTTCTTGACAGATAAGATACATGATGTCCATTGTTGCCAAGTTGTGCTCCTTTTGAAAGAAATCCGTAATAAAGAAATGAGGTTATTTGCCAAATGAAAGTCTTAATTTATTGAAAATGGCTTATTTTGTAAGAAGTTGTCCCAATATTTACTGAAAATTAGATGAAATTTTGAACATCATGTGTCTAAACAGTGGAAAATGCACCAGCGGCTAGCGTGACATAAAAAATACAAAAGGCACCAGCGGTCATTGCATATAAAAATACCCAACTTCAATTCGTTGATTTGGACCACGTCGCCAGGTCCACGCAATATATCATCGTCCAACATTGTAGTTAAATAAAGATCAACGACCATTTCATCAAATCATCAAAAAACTTGCAATATGTTTTCATCATTTAGTGACTGGCAACAGCTACTTTTTCAGTAATTTCTCATATATGAGTATATCACATTGAATTACGTATATTTTATAGCATCAGCTTCACTTTAAATAATTCTTTAAGTACATACATACAAAAAGTAAATATATTATAACTATAATATAGGAAAAATAATATCCAAATCGAATTTTCATGGCAATCCTGTGCCGATTGCACATTTTTGAGCTAGTATATAAGTAAAAACTTGGCAAACCAAAGCAAGGTATATTAAATACCTATAATTTGGCAACGTTGCATCTAGATTATAATAGTGATGGTGGTGTAGTGATGAGAATATTTATCTGAAATGACTACTTGACAATGATCTATTTTCATTATTAAAACAATGCAAAATTGCTTTATTGCGATAAGCAGTGTCACAGTAATAAACAGTGTATGTTATATTCATATAATTTTGAGCAATCTTTTGTGTAACAAGACAAAAATAGCTTATAAAGCAGTATTCTGTACCAAAGTATAACCACCTAAAATGCTACTTTGAAGTTCTATAAAATAGCAGGCAGAAGGTTCCATAAAGAAAAAATGATATTTTCGTAGAAATTACATCCTAATGTTTCATTTTAAGATAAGAAATGAAATATTTGCGATATGCGCTAAAGTATTTATAGTTATTCACCTAGGAAAAAGAAAAGGTGTTTCTCCTAGGAAGACTGCGATCAATAATGATGGTTTCTCGAATTGGAGGTGAAAAATATATTCAATCTTAGAATCACCAGCAGTACCTACAGAAATAAACATTATTTCTCAAGCTGAGTGGTGCGTACTCAATCAAATCAAAAGTCAGCCAGGCTCACCGTTATGAAAAATAGGAAAGCCTGCAAGGTATGTGCATTGGTCATGGTAGATAACGCAACCAAATGAACAAGTTTGCAATTTACAGATCCGTGAGATAGCATTTATCCAGATCCTCACAATTGAAGTCTATTTCTGAGTCGTTAGATCCTTAGCTATTATCAAATTGTCTCATGACTCACTTATTATATAATATTGTACCTTTGATCGGATTATGCTGCCCAGAATAAATCATTTCCAGAAATTAACTCGGTAAAAACAGTCGAGTTTGACAAATGAAAAACATCACGAGTCTTTAATTGTGGAAGACGTTAGGAACCGCGCAACGAAATTAAGACGCTCTCTGAATTCTCCCGCATAATTAGAAACTTTTTCTTTGAGGATAATTTAAAAAGGAAACTCGCGGTATCTGAAAGATAAAAGAATGAGAAAACTTTGTACAGCCCTTCATCTATTTATTTGTGTTATGCGTATTATGCTTTGACGTAATCTGCGAAACCAGGAAGACATTCTGTGATTCATGAGTTTATTTTATAAGATGAAGTTTGCTCAATTTTGAGAAACTGCCAGGGCTGGCTGGGATATATTCAATATGGTGAACACATCGCATCCAGATCTTTGTACTTCACAGTAACTTTACCAAAATTTCAACTGAGATTGTCGACATGGCTGTTCCAGTGTTTCATTATTGCACAATCCGTAAAAAACGACCTGAGTATCGCATTTGCAATTATTAGGTAGATATAAGCAACAACTGGCACAAGTACTAAATTGAAGGAATACGCATTCAATATGAATGAAGAACGATAGAGTTGAGGTGGGAAGCAGCAGTTTGCCTAGCAGGCTCAGAAAGCAGAAGTACAATATCCTCATCAGAAAATATGTATTGTTGGATCCTTTGATGCAACGATTATAGCAACTAGAGGCCCGATACGTGTTTTGCTATGAAAGTTTGGTTCACTCCCTTGAAGAAGCTAACATAGCGAAATACGTGTCTGGTGTGGTAAGTGGTAAAAATCTATAGTATATCTTTCGTATCCTTATCAGCTACCATATTCGAATCTAGGATAATGGAAGAAACATTGGAACTCTACCATAGAGGTTGTCTGATTATATGTTAAAATTAGATGTACACTTATGGTGTACGCCCGTTGAGGCGAAAGGAAGCGAAAGAAAAAAGCAGACACAGACAAATGACAGCCCGTGCACTGGATCATCGCAGAACGGAACGTGTGCAAATGACAATTGTCTCCACGGTTCCCTTAGTGTCGCTTTTCCCCAGTGGGCCTTCAACTTTCGGGCATGTTTCTAACGTGCCAAATACTAAAGCCACAAAGCTGTCGCCTAAATCTATTGTGCTAACGTTGCAGCTAAGATCGATATCCATGTGAGAAGGAGGAATGCAACAAATGTTTTACTACAAGGATGGGAAGCGTAAATCAAGAAGAGAAGCACTATGATTTAGATATCAGTTTAAGGCTCCGATCCTTTCATTATCCAATTCAACTATTCTTCTTCTAGAGACACTGATATAAATATTTCATTTAGCATTTTGAACTGATATGTTTTTAATGTCAGGTTTACTTGAGAGTGCTAGTAGGCTTAAATGTGTAATAATTACTTTTCGAAACAGAAATTTTTGAAGTCCAGCTTATGAGATCAAATGAGCATAAAGATACGAGAAAAATATGAGAAGCTACACAACACAAACGTAAGATATGTTAACAGCTATCCAGTATGTGCAGAATAAAACCTTTCTGCGTTTTCTAGCTCCGTATTGAAAAATTCAAGTATTATCATGATAATTTCGAAATGAGAATCAGACTATTTTGGCAGCCTGAGATCGATACCGTGCGTGTCTGTAAAAATGAACTTCAAATAGTAGGGTGTTCTGCTGCAACTCTTCATTCCTTCAAACACACTGTTCTCACGAAACGTGGCATTGTAATATACAAAAAAGTTGGCTGTTTTACTGATTATAAAGCGGGAAGTTAAGGGTAATCGTTATGTTGACATCATATTCACCTCCTTGATGAGGCAGCTACTGATAGCTTTAATGTTATTCAATGTTAGCTTGGAGTCTATGGTGACTGTTCCATCACCCATTTTGGTCTGTAGTAGGGGATAATCGTATTGATTTATGTTTGAAGAAAGGTTTCCTGTAATATTTGTTTAATATAAGATGTACTTTACCCGTTCTTTTAATAAAATATTATAAAGTGTTATAGTATCGCTTACTCACCGTTGACCCTGACCTAGGTACAACGAATAAAATCAACAATGAACTCTTTCTGTCGGACACTTATAACTAAATTTCTTTTGGTGTATGGAATCATAGTATCTTGATACAAGAACTCTGAAATATTATTTGAGCTCTCAAATGTGACTGCAATTATACAAGTACAATTAATCGTCTACGCCACTCAAAATTACAGAGATATTTTTTCTTTAAAGTAATCCAGGTGATCAAATCCAACACTCACCAATGGGATCTACAAAATAGTACGAAACACTAAATCGGTTAAATGGGGACAAAGTTACATATCTAAGTAACTGGAAAAACGACACTCAAAATGCTACGCAGTTCAAATACTGCCGGACATTAAAATAACCGACATTTCCAAATTATTTTTATCTTTATCCTAAATTTGTTTGAGGTGGCGTTCCAAAACAAGTTTAATTCTCCTCTCTACAAGGCGGCATAATTACATGACCAAACGAACTTTCCTGTAAGTGATATTCGATCCTTGCCAGAAATGGTTTTATTAACTTTGTGAACACATGAGGGGCTCAATTCACCCTGGACGGTACGGCATTGTATTGGAAGAGCTGTCCGTTGAATATGAATTTGAAATATACCTATTCTATGACTCTCCCTAATGGGTACCAAAATCTCTGCATATCCCAAATCCAGATTCGATAAAAAAATATCTCTACGGGGAAGTCTGATCCCAGTTCAATAGCCTTCTAACTTAACATACTATGTGTCTTCAGGTAAGGAATCAAACGTGTTGACCCATCAGACATAGGAGCAATAAAAAGTTAGCTCATCTTTTTTACTGATAGCACCGCAGCTAAGCAATTGAAGAACTATCGAAGGTCGGTAGTTCATAAATTTAGGTATGATAGAGTGCTGATCCAGTAGACATATGCATTCATATGTGATCACCCGAGTCCAACTCAGGACTTTAGCGCCACTCCTAAAGTTTTGCCATTGATGATGGATACGCGTCAATCTCCCTGCTGATTTACCTACCTCATCTGCAATAATCATTGACGGTTGATGTTGTCAGTTCGTTGTCCGGCCTTTTGGCCTTCAGTCGCTGCTCATAATTATCTGATTAGAGTTGACTTACTTGGTCAGACCTACACCGAAGAGCAAGTTATCAATGGAAGCCACTGTTAGAGTACTTCTGCTTAAATGTGAATATCTGCCAGCATGCGCCCTCCCCCTTCTTTGAACCTAGAGGAGAGAGTATTGCCATATGTTGTTAATGAACAACTCACATGTTGCTGTACATGGACCAAGAGCGCATGGCTGCGTGCGACAGTTCCTATTATAGCGGCCGCTACTTCCGAGTTCACCTTAGGTGGCTAGAATAGAACAATTTATTCATCTACCGTCATCAATAAGACCTGCATCGAAATATCAGCCCTGGAACAATCGCGAACATTAATTATATTGAGGTCGCCGCATCATCGTGGTGATGCGTCATCTATTGGAATATGGCCTTTAAGATATCACAGTCCAGAGCGCCCTACTGTTCGAGTGCCTCCTATGCAAAATGTAACGCTAGTTAGGCATAGTGATACCTGATCTCCGCTACATTGGCGATTTCGTACCTGACATGCTCATAATTACACACCTGTTCCATGCTTATCACAAACCATATGGAATTTGATATCACAAAAAAAATGTAACGCTAACCTCGCATAAGATACCTAATCTCTATCTAATTAGAAAAAAATATACCTAAATGATTTCCTAACCTGTCATGTTCAAACGTACAGTGCTGTTCCATGGTTATCACAAACCAGCTGAAATTTGCTATCACAAGCAAATGAGAATAGTATGTTGATCATACTTTGTTGCTACGTTGTTGTTATTTGTCTTAAGATCATAGCCATCACAAGCTAAGTACAAGTTACCATCACAAACAAAGGAGTTTAGTGTTGAGGCGTTGTCTCAAAGGTCAAAAGTCTTCATTCGTCCTTGGTGTGGAGCTATCACAAGCCATGGTCACGCTGCTATCCCAAGCAACCGAGTCCATTGCTTCCACGTTATCCCAAAACGTCTTTGTTCGTCCTTGGTGTGGTGTTGGCTATCACTAGCTAGGTCCAGGTTGCTATCCCAAGCACAGTATCAGAACATTATCCCAAATGTCGTGTCAGACACAGTCTGCAACGGTGAGGCATCCATACTAACATTCACCTAACTTGCACCTAAAATAGACCGTTTAGTCGACAATTACCTGATGGTGACGTCCCTTCAGAAAAAGAGGCTTGCATGCCACTTTCTAATTCTGCTCCGCGATGAACCTTCGGTCCTGTTATCTAATATGTGCAGCGATTCATCGGAACTGCTGAAGACATAAAAAGCGGTGCGCGAACCCGATTGACGTGTTAACCGTTTGGCACGAGAATAAGGAATGAGAGTTTATAGGCGGCCAGAGAGGAGGTAGGTAGGAGGGCGCGGTTAGCCGCTTTACTTCGCTGAGTGCGCGCTTTGAACTCCTGGGTTTGGTCAGATACCAGGGTACTACAAGTATTTACGAGACGAGACAAGAACATAATTGAAATTTCAATATGACTTTACGTCTATTATCCTCAATAATGAACAGCTAGCTCCCTTTTTACTTCCGAACGCCAAATTAGATGTTTAAGGTGAACAGGGCTCTCTGTTTCAAAAAATATATAATATGCCTTACATGTGTATTGCTAGGTCATAGATATTAAAAAATCAGTATTTCGGAAGCGGGCTTTGGAAATATCAGATACTCATTTGTTTCGTAATATCATCAGTTAAGCATTTCTTCACTCCCTATTCCGACTTTAATGAACAGATATCGAACAATACCATGAAATGAATTGATTTTTTCACTTAGCCAAGGAAATGCTTTGAATTACTAAACTAAGGCCCATTTTCATAGTTCTATTGATATATGCGCAACTTTACCTCCAAGCGAATTCATATATCTTAACATTTCCGTAGCCTCTCGATGAGATCCAAATTTGAAACGGCCGGTATAAGACTGTTTTCTTTAAAGTATACAACAGTGGATAAAAATAAAATTTAGCACCATAGTAGCCAGTTGGGTTACATCATGATGATTCACAGAAGTGGAGAAGAGCTCGTTTAATGCAATGCTGCTTATTTTTACATCCTGCACAATAAGAGTGGTCTTGTTTCAGGAATGTACCTTTTACACACTCTGATACTATTCATAAAAGTTTTCAATCAAAACCTAGAATTCCATTGAGTGATCTAAAACATTATATGCTGTGATTTCTTGGTGACTGATAACGAACCTATCATTATCTACTGTATGTATTTTTTTCAAAATGGCGGAACCTCTATACTGATTCTAGTATTATAGATGATAAGAGATCGGAAAGATATACCACTCATTATACACTGAATTTTCCATGTGTTTCGGGCATTCCAAAAAACAGTTAATTTCATTATCGGTTGAAATGGTACATTACATACCTAGTTTGGAAGTGGTTTTGTACACTACATCAGTATATTAAAACAGTTTTCGCCTAACAATAGCTTTCTCAATCAATGTATGTAAAGAGTTATTTTCACACACTTTTTAAAGCGTATCCGCAGCAAATTTTCTTTGCACGGCGTACAGGTCTCTAAAAAAATAACCGGTTTTTGCTAGTAGCTTATTACACCAAAGTCCCAAGATACCCGGTATATCACTATCCGAAAGATCAATCAAACCTAAACCAAACCTAATCCGCTCCTGTATCTAGATTAGATCAAAAGTGAGAAGGCACGAACCCAGGCCCAGCAGCGTATGTAACCAAAACGCTCAATTACCAATCCGTTCGAAAAAAAAACAGAATGACACACTCGTCTAGCAATTTCGAACTTGGCGACATGATTTTAATTTATCGTGAGTGTCTTCAAAATGCTACCGAGGTTTCGCGAGTGTATGCAGATCGCCTTCCCAGACGTAGTTATGCATGGCCGCGTAGATTTGTTTACCTTGTGCAAACAGTTGCTTTCAGGAATATCGAGGTGGGCTCAGAGGGAGGCCCAGATTGCCGAATTGTGCGAATTGAAGAAGAGATTTAATTTCGTAGAAGAAGATCATTCAGAAAGCACTGGGGAAGTGGCTAGACAAGTGCAGGTCTCCAAGACTAAAGTGTGGCAAAGCTGCGTGAGGAAGGACTGTACCCTTTTCGCGTATAACATGTACAAGCTCTAGAAACTGAGGATTTTACTGCGAGGTTGCTTTTTTGAGAGTGATTTTTGCAGTCCTTCTTAGTCACGGACGAATCAACCTTAACGCATAACGGGGTGAGTAACTTACGAAATACACATTTGTGTAATCACTGGAAAATTCACACGTACGTTTTCAACTCATTTTACAAATACTTTCAAGTATCTAGTTAACTGGTGTCAAGCTGACAAATTCAAATTAATGAATGCAACTGTTAGCCGACTTTGTTTGTATTGTTCTATCCAAGGTGAGTAAAGTACAAATGCCTTCTTCTATTTTTAAACGTTATGCCGATTATTGGGATGTTCAAGAAGAAAAACTACACGAAGAGCTATACTCGAAACTGCTTACCTTGCAATTATTCTAATGAATTTCAAAATATAACTTTCAGTTATCAAAATGACACAATGAATTTGAGATCAAGTCATCAAGTTATCGTTGGTTGTCAGAGCGGTCCGTGTCGCTCTTGAGTCATAGTGTCAGTCTGGTAACCCAGAAACCAGGCAATTTTAAGGAAAAAAGAGAAGGAAAGGAGAGAAGGGAGAACGAGAGCAAAGAGGAAGGAGATAATCTTTTAGGATAGGGGACACTTAGACGTTGTTAAAATCACTTGACAGATCTTGATATGGTCTAAAAATAGTTGATTTTTCTGAAGATTTCGTCAAAATGATCCAATTTTGGTTGTTCTAAGTTCAAGAATTAATTTTCATTTACAGTGCGAGCCACGGCTCTTTGCGCTTGCGAACTTGTACGATTGTGTAGCGTTGAAATTGACATGATACGATTTGAAGTGACTTTTACTTGCCTAGATGTTATTATGTTCTTATTATTTACCTAGGAAGAGAAATATTGCTTCCATAAGACAATGGCGACTTCTCAGGTTACTGATGAAAAAATACATTATTTTGCTATATTGTTGAGCAGCCCAACAGATAGCAACAGTTTGCAGTAGCGTTTGACAGTAAGCTAACCAGAAGGGGTGGCGTGTCCCATGCCTCTGGTCCGGGAGAGTCTCCTAGGTTTTGTTCACCAAATCCTGGGCAAGGCTTTGAAAATATGCAATGCACAGGTACTGTCCTCATTTTTTAAGTCTCGTTTAGTATTAGGAACATCTGAGATGACTTGGAGTTGGGAGTCTCGTAGATAGAAATGGTGGTTTACAATTTTAAGTAAAAACTACTTTCACTGCTTACCTTTCTAACGTCTATTCAGTTGTCGTTCAGTTCCAGTTTCAGCTACTCACTGGGACATCCACTGGATACCATAGTATCCACGATGAAATGTGGTGAAACGTCCTAGAAACGACAGTTTTCACGAAAGGCGCGCTTACAATGGTCCACTAATATGACAAGCTTAAGATTGAAGCTCATGATGACGCTGTGGCTATAGCACTAGATAAACTGGTACATATTCAGGATGAACAGGTTTCCCAAAAATTGCATAGGCAGAGCAGGCCTTGCCTTGCCACCGATGCAAACCTGGAATTTGCTGCCAGATTGTTAGCCCAGTAAATCCCACAATTTATAATAAAATGTGGCCTCATTGAATCTTTATCCAGTGTACCGCTTATACTACAAGACACAAGTGGATGAAGTGTCATGTAACAAAAACATGTAATCGACTTAAAACATTTTTTATTGGAACTCTCTTTGATTTATTGAAATTTTGAATATTCAGTTTAGGTTGTTATTATCTTGTTTTTGAAACAAATTAATCTCAGAATGAAAGAAACGCTTCCTAATGTTAGTTTAATGCTAAAAAGCAATTTTAAAAAATGTAACATGACACCTTTATCCTCGTGTGCCCTCAATCATCTCCGATCGACAATGATTAACTGCGAAAGAAGACTTTCAAAATAAATTGTTCTAACAATCTAACTAAGGTAATATTATTTGAGAGCTCATTAAAATGAAAGGCGCATAAAACATGTATAGTTAAAATTAAAACTATCACTCATTGCATATTCCTTTTTTGCAAATTGCTTCTGGTTTGTTTCTATTCATATTCTATGCACATTTTTATCAATTTATCACTCTTCCACGTGTAAAAACTATACTAAATAGCCATACGCACATATACATACAAAACCTAACTAGATAAAAAACTTTTAACATTGTTCATTAACACTTCTCTTCATTCAGCTTTGCTGCTCCGGCCTTTGACGGGCTGAGGCCGCTACTGTGAAAAGGCGATATGTTTTGCATGGAGGAATGAAAACAAGATACATTCACATCAATATAGTATATTTTTATCATTTACACAGTATAAAAATTTCCAAATGTTACAATATAGCTATTGCGAAAACTTTACCTTCTTTTGTCTAAGGGCCTCCGAGCAACGTTGACATTTTATGGGTATGCTATGGATCCATAAAAGCTTTATTGCTTTATAATAGGCCATAATAATAATGGGGCTGAATTATTGGTTTAGTATCACCATTCTCCGGATAGCGTCTTCGGTGACATTACGAAATTCTAGCCAGGCAATTTAGGGTTTGTTAGGAATCCAATATTGATCATAATAAACTATTGCATGTTTCTCGAATTTAGCTCATGTCAGGTTGATTCGAGGTGATTCACTCTGTACCACATGAATAGAACCGTATATGTTTGTTTATTAATCAAGACATGATACAAAATAATTAATAAAAGTGGTAGTCTATAAGTACTTCACGAAATGTTTAACTATTGACAACCAGATATCAACAGTCACTGAGAGCTTAATCGCAATGCTAATGATCAATGTGGTACACTACTTGAGTAGAAGAATCTCGATTTTCATATTTCCTCTAGGCTCAAGTATCTTTGATGAGACGGCAATAAATTCGGTGGTTCTACACAACGTTGACCAGCAACATACACATCCTACATTTATATAATTATTTGCCTCTTGAATAATAAGGAAAGGCCTACAGGTTCTATTTATGGGGCGTGGTGTGTATAAACAATTTGGCGAATTCTTACACAATGTGTTCATTGTGATCAAATTTGAGCTACTATAGAAGAAAGAGAGTATCACAAAATACCCTACGTGACCTAATGGGTCTAGGTATTCCTAGAAATACACACCACTGGAATGTGTCCTTTTCAATAACCTATGGGAAAATGTATTTGTATCTTTTTTTGTCTTTCAGTGCCACCATTTAGGACCCAACGTAACATTACTACTTGTCAAGTACCAAATTGGAAGAGAGAGGCGAGACGCATCGTATGCTACTGATCGAGATGCTCTGGCTACAAATGTTATGTAGACAAGGCGAAAACGTTTGCGGGAAAATATTACGGTTCTTTTTTTTCGTAATCGCATATGTCAAATGATTTCAACAAACCGAAACTTCATCCCACTGACGAATTATACGCAGATGTAACAGATGCATTTTATAGGGCTTTACCACTCAATAAAAATATTAAACAAAATGTTTATACAAGGTACAAAATTCGTGGCACAGTAGTTTCTCAGCCATTTTTTTTTTTTGAAACTATACTTAAAGACTTGAAATATTTACATTTCGGAAATTATTTCAAGAGCACTTTGAAAAAATAGCTACGTTCTATATCTAGGAGTTACTTCCTATATCTGAGACTGAAATTCATAAGCTCATAAATATGAACATCAAGTAAATTCCTGACTTTACTTGAGACGGTATTTCAATATAAATTGCATCTTGTCATTGTTACTTATTTTCCTACACAAGAAGACGTAGTCAAGTTTTTAATTCGAGGTTTCTTCTTTCGACTTCCATCATTAACTTTGTTTTTTCATATTGACGTTATACTGGATTTTTGTGCATTTAAATGGACCTTTCAGTTCTAAATAATTCATTGATGTATTTCCTGAGTTGGCCATGAATTTGTTGTTGGATGAAAATTACAAGGAAATTAAAAGGTATGTTAAAACCAAAACACAAAATGAAGATATTATTGATGGCAGTAACAATAATAATCATAAATAAGCATAGGTAAATCATAACAGATGTCTTGCAGATGTAGCAATTGTTGTCTGTTATTGGACAGGCAAGGCCTTATTTGTACATTGCTCGCTCCTTGATTCATTTCTCTTCTTCTCAGTCTCCCAAACTCTGTTACTATGTTCAATTTGAGGTCTGGTCTGCTATACGAAACAAATGACTACCAGATGATTTCAAGGCCTACCTAGGAACTTCTGATTTTCTGGAGTAACTAAGGTTTGGCGATGTTAATGTATGACATACAGGTATACATTTTTTAAATAAGAATTAAAAAATCTACCTATCTGTGCAAAACACAAATAGAAAAAATAAAGTTGATGCTTGACGCAAGAGACGAAAGGTCATATTGCACTTGCAGTTATGCCATCTTGTAGAGGAGAAAAATTGGCAATGTTAATGAGCAATTTATTTTAAAATCCCACTACAAATAAATTCAGGAAAAAATTAACTGTTTTAGGAAAATTCGTTTTTTTCTGTCCCTATCCGAAAGTACTTAGTTCCCATTTAAGTGGTTCCGAGACTCCAAGGGTGAGGGTCGAATTTGAAGCACCCGGTATTCAGTAAGCAATTAATCTGTCAAATGCCAATCTTGTTCAGGGCATTATTGAAAACTGCATAATCAACATCAGGTCTTTTTATAGCAATCATCTGGATGTGTCTTCTTCTCGATTGTTTATATGTTTGTTATGATTGCTCAATGAATATCATTCCTGTTGAAGGAATCGAGCAAACGTGTTTTTAAAAAAAACATACGAGGTTTTTTGCCTTGCCCAGTTTGTATGCATCCAGATTGAGATATTCGCACCTTTGAAACAACCGCGTTAGCAGTTGTGCACGATAAGTTTTGATTTTCTCTTCCATTTTGCTATTCGACTGTAGTAGGATTGTCTTAGCGAAAATTCGGAACAACATAACGAAGCGTGAAACCATAACTCCTGTTTCTCCGATATCAGCAAGGTAATTGTAGTCATAGTTGGCCTTGGTGGTTCAACCGAATGAAACGTTTTGCACTGGTTGATTGACAGGCACAACAGTCTCTTCTTCTTCGTCGTCGTTTGCGTCACTGCTTTGCTCCTTCGTTTCGTCCACTTGTCCCATCAGCGCCCGGTATTTCTTCGCTATGGCTTCCCAATCGGTCACGTGTTCGATGCGAGTTGTTTGACTAGTGAAGCTCAGCTGTGACCCAAGTGGACTGGAAAGAGAAAAATACTCATTATTTCAATAAGCACAATATAGAAGCACAAGAAGTATAACGTTTCTGATTGTGCTTCAATTTACCGACTCCGTAAATATTTTTTTTATACCGAATCAGCCAAGCAGGCAGAAACCTGAATGCCGGGACTGCTATAAGAATCACAAAAAAATTTTGTTGATCCGATTTTTGAACTGCCTAAGGTTAGCAGAACTGGAAAAACCTTCCTCTTGTAGATTGTTCTACAATCTCGACACCCTCGGGACCAAGGAGCAGTCGTGTCGGCTAGTTCTGAACGTACGAAGTTCAGCACAGTTAGGTTGGGAGGCCAACGTCTGGCGGGTCTGTCTGGCACAAAAGAGCTCTGGCGAGCAAAGCCCGTTGGTGTAGCGGTAGAAGGGAGCAAGATCGCTGACGGCTCGCCGGAGCGAAAGGGACCCGAGACTGTCTGTTACAGAAGAGTCGTCAATCAGTTCTCTTCTGGAAAACATCGGGCATAGGTAAAGTAATCAGGGCGGCAGCACCCCAAACGTCCGGGCAGTACTCGAGGCTACCCCTTGTCTAGACCTTGAATAGAGTGCGATGGTCATGCGGAGAAAAGTACTTCTTAGCCCTAAACAAATAGCCTAGCTTTTTCCCAGCAGCTGCCGCTATTGAGGAGACATGTTCGCGCTAGATCAAGTCCTCGGTGATCTGGACTCCGACCAGCCGAAATGAACGGCTCTTTGACAGTACTCGGACATCCATTAAATCCGAATGAGCGCTAGGACGTTTTTTTTTTCGTCAAGGTACAGTACCGTGTTTTGGAAGCTTTAAAATGTTCAGGATTGTTACGTCCCCAAGCAGTAATAACCTCCAGGTCCCTCGTCCGAGAAGAAGTCGCTGTTAGTCTTCTTTTTCCGAGTTCAGCCGCAGAGATCGGCTTATCGCTCTGAATTCCTGCATGTTGAGTGCTGCCATCACCAAAGCTGTGGATTGGGTTGCTCGTACAGGAAACGAGGAAGTCAATATGTTAGAGGGATAGTATCGGAGCTAAGACCGATCCCTGGGGAACACACGCGTTGAGGTTGTGGGATGAAGAAGAGAACCCGTCAACTACGATAGATATCTTGCGGCCAAAGAGAAAGTCAGCCATCCATCTGCAAAGCTTCCTTGGGAGGTCATAGGACGGAAGTTTGCATAAGAGGGCAGTGTGCCACAGCTGACCGAACGGTTTCGTGACATCAAGAGCCACGACATGAGCGTCACGGTAAGACTGGTTGAGTATACTTTACAATTGCGTGACGTAAGCTCGGTGGTCCCCTGTGGTTCGCTGGTGCAGAAAACCATACTGCCTGTCACTAATCAAGCCGTGACGTTCGAGGTAATCCGGAAGCTCGCGACTTACGCACCTCTGCGCCACCTACCTACTAACAGAAAGCAGAGCTACATGCCCGTAGTTGTAAGGGTTGGCCTTAGATCCTTTTCTTTGGATGGGTTGGACATAAGCAAATTTCCAGATTTCTGGGAAGGTGCCGGAATCATAAGATATCTAGAAGATACGCGAAAGAACTGGAACAAGCTCCGCTGCACACCTCTTCACTACAATGGCGGGAATCAAGTCCGGACCAGAAGCTTTGTTGATGTCGAGCGACAAGAGCACCCGTTTTACGGTATCATGCCTGAATGTTACGTCCCGCATAATGTCGAGAACCCTTTGAGTCGACGGCACGTCCATGGTGGAGTTCAGCAGCAATGATCTTGGCAAGCACTTCCGCCTTAGCCTTTGAGTCGGTTTCAGTCGTTTCACCCTGATATGTAAGTGGTGGAAGGCTACTCTGTGAGAAGTTCCTTTTAATCTGCACGGCCAACGTCCAGAAGACCGACTGCTAATGCGCTGCGACATTACCCTATGACTAACTTTGATATTGTGCTGGTCTTTGGTATCGCGGACTACATCGTTATATTTGTTTCTGGACTCCACGTCGGCTTATCTGCTCTCTAAAGTGAGAATTTGTAGGACGGTTCTATGTACCTTCGCCTTCTGTTGGCGAGCAGTGCCACACGATTTGTTGAACAAGCCGTTGGACCCTGGCTTAGGCAATTTCATTGTATGAGGGTTGTATTCCTCCGTCCCGACGTGTATAATTTTGGTTGTCGAAGAACAGACAGCCGACGCATCCGCGTCAGCAAAACAAATATATCTCCAAGGAAAGGTACAGAAGAAGTCTGAGCTAGTCTGCTTGTCCGTAATGCCAAATTTTGCGGCCTGGGCGAACTTCTGCTACCACGGCAGGCTCTTACCGTTAAACCTAACCTCCACAAGGCCGTGGTCTGAGTTACCCAAGGAGGACAGGACAGCAGTGCTGTAAGGGACAGGATGCCTACTCCGAAACAGATCCAGCAGGCTATCTACTGGCATGTGACGAGACGTGGGGGGGGAAGGTAGGGCTCGTCACCAGCTGAGTCAGCCCTTCAGTAAGAGCAAACGCTTCAACTGCACGACCTGCTGCATCAGTCTTGCTTGAGCTCAACTACAGTTCATTGCGGGCGTTGAAATCATCGAGGAGAACTATCTCTGAAGCGAGATGGTTGATTTTCAGTCGATCTTGACGGCGAGGTATTCAAGTAGGTCATTACAGTTATGGTCCGTGGGAGAGCGATAAACGCAGCAAATAGATTTGGAGGATGTTTTGGAGTTGAGGCGAAGCCACAGAATGTCCTTCTGGTTTGCTTCCAAAGAAATGTATCTGGCGCAGCCAAAATTGCTACGGACAAAAGCCACAATTCCCTCGTAATTTGGGTAGCTAAGATGATTAATCGGTGCAGGCTCTGAAATTTTTGTCTCTGCAAAGAAAAGCATGGCGGGGCGACTGGATTGCAAGTAGTGATGAACATCATCAATGTTGCTGTTAATCCCGTAGACGTTCGTGAAGCAAATTTGATCTTCGATGTTGTACCTCGTGTCCACCCTTCACCCGGACATTCCGAAAATGAAGTGAGCTTACGTCCGGAATTCTTAGTACTCGAGGGATCCATCATCATTAACTTCTTTGTTGATAACCGACTGCGTCGCTTGGGTGTGGAAATATTCGAGCATTTATAAGACACTCTGGGAAAATCTAGCGGATGGTACCGCCTCGGTCGACTGGTTCCTGTCTATCACCTTTTTTGTGTGCTAATGATGTTAAATAGACCTCAAGTGACCTGTAAGCGAACTTGTACCGCCACTGGCAATCTGTACGGAGGTATTCATTGCTTAACGCGTGTACAGTCACTTGAATGGGAAGAAGTTGTATACTGAATACAACATCGTCCGGAACAAGCATTTGCCACAGCATCGCTCAGTAGGCAGCGATATGCTTTATAATCCACCAGCGCATTTCCTTGTTGAGCTCAGACTTCAAGATTGTTTAAAATTTATTTAGCATGATTGCTACAATTACATTCTTCTGAAAATCTAAACAATTCTATAACATACAGATAAAAACAAAATTTGCATCTCTAAGAATTTTCACTATCTATGAAATATTCCTTTAATCTTCTTTCAAACATCTCCAAATTACAAGTAGACTTTATATCATTATTTATTTTATTAAATTCAAGTACCTTATCCTTTCTGAACTATTGATTTGCTAGTTATATTACTTTTGCAATATTGTAAATGAAAATCTATATTTCCTCTTGTATAACAATTGTGGTAATGATTATTTAATTCTATGTCGTGTTCTAAATGTTGTGGCAAAACATGATTTTTTATTCTAAATATAAAAATAAGATCCAAATATATGATAATATGCAACCACTACAATTCTTGTAACATAGATTCTATTTTGGTGTACTTATTTTTATTCAATATTATTTTCTTAGCTTTATTTTGCAGGACTTGTAATTTTGAGAATACCGCTTCATTAGCAGTGAACAAGCTAGGTGAACAATATAGTAAATTCGATAGAATAATTGTATTACAAGCTATTTTCTTGGTATATGTACCAAGACTAGAATAGCCCTATAGAAGTAATTTGTTTTTTTGGCAATTTTTGAAATAGTGCATTCAGAGTGATCCTCAAACTTTGGTTTACTACTATCAATATATATACCTAAATATTTAATTGATTCAGCATTTTCAATTATTTCACCATTTATCCTAACTGTGATAGTATTTTCACTTAGGTATTTCCCTATTAGCATACATTTTGTTTTAGAAGTACTCAATTTTAGTTTATTTACATTTAACCAATGATTGATTTTTGCCAAGTCAGAATTTAGCATTTTCAAAGCATTGTTTATATTTTCATCTGATATGTATATCAATGCATCATATGCAAATATCTGAATTTTACAATAATCTAAAATATTACAAATGTCATTAATGTATAAAATAAATAGTAGTGGACCTAGCTTACTACCTTGTGGTATACCAACAGAAAGATGTTTTGAGCTTGATAACATAATTCAGTGGCGAAGCGTCCATGTAACCATTGTTACCATTGGTAACAGTTAAAAACCTTATAAATAAATATTTTATGACTAAGTACTGTGAAATAATTTCATTTATTTGTTTACCAACAGCGAGTGTCTAGGTTTTGCGAACACGATACAGCTGACTCGCCTCGACTTGGTTGTTGGTTGTTACCATCTTCATTTATGGATACACTTGGTAGTATGTCGGGGACCGTCGGTACCGGCTCGTTTCTGATCGCTGTCGCCCGAGTGCGTGGGGCGCTGCGACTATTATGTGGGCTTGTTACCATTTTTGATTTGGTTACTCACTTCTCACTCGTTAGTAGCCGTTTTGGTCATCGGCTATAGTATGCGTGCAATTAATTACATAAACATGGATGAGTATCGCTGCGTAATCGATCAACTACTTGAAAAGTCATTCTCCTTGTTTAATTTTTAAGAAAAAAAGGAGATCATTGAAAATGGAAGACCAACGCATATTTTAGATAATTTTAAAAATAAATAATAAATAAAATAAACGTAGTTTGATGTTTTAAATTAAGTTGGTATATGGAAACTCTTGTTTATCTGGTTGTAGAAAAACAGATTGTATTGTTGGCGATGTCTTCTGTTTCATACAGAATAAAATGCAGCGGAGTCAACGATTTAAACAGTTTTTAGAAATTTCTCCGTTACTGTTTGGCAAAGCAAGAATCAAAAGTTGTCTTAATTAAGCTTTTAGGCAGCACACTTCTCGATAGTGTATGTTTTTTGGCAAAACAGGACCTACCGTTCAATTTGAAGGGGATGACTCTGACAATAGAGGAAATTACAGGGAATTGTTAAGATTCATTGCTAAAAAAAAACATTTTCCGAACATCTAGAAACGTCGACTGTTTCTTCGGATGGCTTGGATTAGTCATAGCATAAGTCGATGAGGTATATCAAGTGCCCCAGACGCTCAGTCCAGGAATGTTTACCTTAATTTAAAAATATTTTAAATAAAATACCTAAAATAAGAAAAACACTTATATTTGGGAGGTTCAAAATAAACTTTGTTTAATAAGATTTTTCACATCGAGTTTTGGTAACAGTTTAGGAAAAGTCACGCGTTGCCACTGATGTAGTTCTTTGTATGGCAAAACTATGTGCAATCCGGAAACAACTAAATAAACTAATTATAAGGCGGTACTCGAAAAGAGCGAAATATCGCGGTCCTGAAATCTAGCAGATTAGATGCGTAACTGGCATCACTTTTCAAGTCGTAGGAGCACTATCTCGAAAACCATGTCTTTTATTTTGTGACAAAACCGTTTTATATTCATCGAACTTCAAAACCTCAGTAATAGTGTGAATCCCATAGAGGATAATATAGTATTTCACTTTCTCTATTACTGTGGCAAATCAGACACTTGATCAAAATGTGGAGGTTTTGAGCCCATTACTCGTGAGTTTTCTGACTTTTTTTAATATGGTCAGTACACTGTGTTGGCTGCGTTTGATAAACTACTAATACGTACTAGTGTTAAAAATGGTCGTCTTCTCATCTTTGCATATTTAACATTCGGTTGGGAAGTATATATCAGAAGCCACTGCTTATATTTGTTACATTCATGATTGTGAAATATACTAAGTGACATATAAATCCGAACACCCAGTTTAAATGGTTTTATTTTAATAAAATTTTGTATAAGTACTTAATGAAGCATAATAAGTAAATGATAAAAATTTCAAAATGATTGCACTGCTTTAAAGCCCTTTGACCTTTAATAATGTGTGGATGCACCCTGATGTGCTACGCATTCTCCAACGCGCCTAGGCATGCTTCTGATCAGGTGGTCAATGTCCTCCTGTGGTATCTCATTCCAGGCAACCACCAACTGCTCTCGAAGTGCATCTAGAGTCTGAGGAGGACGTTGCAAATTGAGCAATCTCCTATCCATCATATCCCACACGTGCTCAATTGGGGATAAGTCGGGAGATCTTGGTGGCCATGGTAACAATGTGACATCATTATGTTGAAAGAAGTCTATTGTGACTCTTGCAACATGTGGTCGGGCATTATCTTGTTGGAAAGTTGGTTCGGCCAGGGTGTCAAGATAGGGTAAAAGATGGGGTTCTAGAACTTCGTGGATATAACGCTGCGCGTTCGTGTTACCTCTGATGAAGATTAAAGGTGACCTGGAACCATAAGCTATAGCACCCCAAACCATAACTCGGATTCCTTCTTTCACCACGTCGCTTTCTAACCCTGGCACGACCATCGTGCATGCCTAAACAAAATCGAGACTCGTCACTAAAGACAATACTGTTCCATTCCTGATCCCAGAGTGACCGTTGTCTGCACCACTCAAGGCGATTACGTCGGTGTTCTCGAGTTAAAGGGAGGACCCAGTGTGGCCGGTATGAAAACAAGCCAAAACTTCTCATTCGTCGGTAAACACTTCGCATGCCAATAGGTCTTCCGTGTTCTGCAAACCATTCATTTGCAATGGACCTGGTAGTGGAGAAACGGTCCCTTAAGGCCAATAATCTTAGGCGGCGATCTTCACGGTCTGTTGTTCTACGGCGGCGTCCAGTGCCCCTTGCTCTTTGCGTACGGCCTTCTCGAAGCCATGCCTGACAACACCTAACCACTTCTTTGCACTCTAACTGCAATTGAACGAAAAGAAAGTCCAGCTTCCCGAAGTCCCACTATATGGCCCCTATCAAACTCACTAAGTTGACGAAATCGTACAGGCCTCCGTACTCTAGGCATCGTAACCGATCGTAAAGGATGTCAAGAACCAAAATCCGAGAAAGGTTGATTCTTTACTGCGGCTGAAAAATTCATTTTTAGAGCATTAGTGAATTAAACAAAAGCAGTATAAAAATCGAAATGTCCAACTGATAAGGCTGAAAATTTTTCCACTTGTTATTTACAGTAAGATAAATACATTCACCAACTTTTATTAAAATAAAACCATTTAAACTGGGTGTTCGGATTTATATGTCACTTAGTATACATTCACCGAATTATCAAAATATCATACTTTCAGCTTTAAACTGAGGTGATCTCGAATCACAAAGAATCTAGCCTAGTAATAAATACGGTTGTTCAGCGTGTTTCATTGGGAGATGGGAATATTCTCACCCTAGATAAAAATCAGTGTAGTTATTAGAAGTAATATATGATGGACCTTCAGCATACTATTGATTTTGGTCATTTCTTTATGACCGCACAACTTTTCAACCAATCGCTTTATTTTTCTGCAAGTTGGTATGGTTACCCAGCTTATGCTATCGATTCGAATATGATACAAATTGGCAAAGAAGTACAGGACCAAACTGGTCAAAATTTGACAATACCATTTTTTCCACCTTGTGCATTAGTATTTCTGAATTTCGTTCACATATTTGGTAATAGCATAGAATCTTTATTCTATAATTTTGTTAATTGAGCAGACAATTGTAAGAACTGCAGATACTGATTTCGTTCATTTCGGAGTCCAATGCTCAAGGCTCTGTGGCCTATCAATTATATCTTACTGTTTAAGAAGATATGCGCCACGTTGTTGTCAGATATAGATCAAGATGATCCTATTAACCAGTTGCTTTATCTAGAAAACCAATAAAGATACACCCAGGTCTGTATTCAAAACTGAAGGTTAGCGGTTGCGTATTCACATGTTGAGAGAATTTTCATTGTGACCCTACATTATAGGAAGTCGAAATTAAAAAGTTCATACTTGCTATTGAAATGGTGTGTGATTTAATGAAGCATGAGAGGAAACGGATGGCTACCTTTGGATATTTGTTTCTGCTGGTGCCACAATCAGTTTGATAAAGTGAGCTGAGAATGTGCAGCAAGTTTCAAATAAAATAAAATTCACAAGCTGTCTCACCGATTTTTGTCATTTCTTTATAGCGTCACAACTTTACAATCAATTTTATGTCTTTTAAAAGTGGGTGTAATCCTATTTAATCGATTGTGATACTACCGCGAAAATAAATACAGCTTTGGGCCCTGTTTAAAGTTTAAAATTGATTCTAACCACCGAAAGCCATCCCCTGCTTCATTAAATGACATACCAGTTGTTTGGGTACCATAGGCCCAATGCTGCCATTTACACTGCCTGTAATATTCCGGCTGTGCAATAATTTTTTATATGTGAATGTGAGACACTTTTCCAATGAAAACTTCTTCAATGCGTGGATACGAAATACTCAAGCTTTATTCTTTAGTACGGACCGAGAAGTATGTTTTTATTGATTTAGATGAAGTAACTGATCAATAAGACTATAATCTTTTAAATCTAGCACAAATGTAGCGCACATAGTCTGAATTAGCAGCTCACAAAATTAACAGACCATGCAGTTTGCAACCTTGTACGCAAGAATGAACAAGATCAGTTTCTCCAGCTTCCAGTATACAAGGTGTTGATTTTAGGTAAAACGGTTTTGTAAAATAGTAATGACACAGATTTTTTTTCCTGTTCGTATCGTAGCCGATTCAATAGCATGAGATATAACGGGCGGTCAAATGGTTGCGAGGCCATACAGAAATGGTTAAGGCTTATAAAGCTGCCTGTCGTTTGAAGGGGCTAAAGACCCATGAACTTTAGGTTATTTATAATCACTACTCTGAATGGCCCCTATCCACGGTTAAAATATCTCCCTCTCCCAGTGAAGTACCTTACATAGTATGGTAATATCTTATGTTAGGTCTTTTACGTATCATCTATAGTACTTACCTAATGTGGGCTACAGACAGTGCGACGGAAGACTCTTTCGGAGCAATTTGATGACCCTTTTTCACTTTAGACAGCCATTTTCCTGCCGCTTTACTACGCGGTGACATTTGGGCTGTCTTCTGGAAGCTGCCCATCAGATGAACAAGGCTCTGACGCTTGCGAGTTTTCACTGGAAATATACAGACTTAAGAAAAATATGTGTGTCAGAAGGACTCATTCAAGCAACACTAATTTCTAGAAAACGTTGACTGAATTTTCTGTTCCTGGACAACAACAACAGTTAGCCTACGAGGTCTGTAAACTAAGCAATGAGACTGATTTTTTTTTATCTAAATTTAATTGCAATTTTAAAGTCACGCTCAGAATAATTCCTTTTTAAGAGACATTCCTCATAGCAGTGCTGGAGACTGGAATATCCTTCATCTGATCAGTTACAGTCATTTGAATATTTTTGGCTGTCTCTCGAGGTGATTTTTCAACTTCGGACAGACAAGAAAGTCACAAGGACTCAACTCAGGCGAATGACGAGGCTGAGGAACCACAGGAATGTTTGTACTGGCCAAAAACGCTGTTATTGACATTGAAGTGTGAAAAGGAGCATTATGGTGAAGCAACACCCAATTTTTCTTCAATCAAATCAAGCCCCCTTCAAACAATCTGACTGTCAACCCACGATCTGAACTCACAGGATCCCGGACTCTGTTTTTTTTTTCTGTTTATATATTTACATCGTTTCTTGACGATGACTTCGTGGTTCATCTTCTATCGAGTCTCTCCCTTCTGAAAATGCCTTAAACCACCGAAAAACCTGACTCTTGACAAAACACTGTCTCCAAAGACCTGCTGAAGCTTAGCAAGAGTTTCCTTTGCACTGTGTCCATGTCTGAAGCAAAACCTGAAAGCACTCCGTTGCGTTGCTTGAAATTGATGTCATTCATTTTTAGAACAGAAAAAAAAATCAAATGCCTCGAACGAGTTGAACCTTGTACTGAAGGCGGATCACATATTCCCCTGTTTCGATTGCTACATTGCCAGTCTCATCACTTAATTTACAGACCTCGTATCTACTCTTCCAATTTGGTACTTGACTCTATGACATTTCTGTGACGCTAAGGTTCGATTGACTTGACGAGATGGAAATTTGCTTTTGTGGAGCAAATTCTACCAGTCAGAACGCGTTTTTAGTCCAATGGATATAGTCGACTTCTTCTAAAGTATCTCTACGACTCTACAACTACACGATATGTGTAAGAAGAAGATAATTATATAATCCCCACGTTAAATCAAGAAAATATGTTTAAATCACATTGTTTAGCTTCAAAAACCTATTTTTGATTTTATCCCCGTTAAGTTTTTGTAGCTAAGCCAAGGATTTATGAACGTCTTGATCCAATAAGGGAATTATAGGCCTTTGTGACACAAATTGTATTGCCAGTTGCTAGAATGAGAGCCGCTTTAAATGAAATCTACTATTCTCGTTAGATTAATTACTATTCAAAAACGTTCTTATTGCTCTAATTTGCTCCCCGGAGCAAATTTTGATTCCCGGATAGTCAAATCCGGGCCAGATAGTTTATTCAGGCGGAAATATAAAGTATGCTTACATTGCCTACTCCTCTTCCTGCAGATTTCGATAAGATAAAATAGCCATGTGGTGATAAGGTTGATTGGAGATGGTGCTGTTGTGGTGCGGTGCATAGACCTGATTAACTTACTTAGGCCAAATTTCCATTCGATGTCTGATTGAGCCTGTGAAGCGAGAGCAAGGATTACTTTCATATTAAATTAGATATCAAAATCAATAATATTTGTTATCTCCAACATCCATGACAAGTACGTTTAGAGTTAATCCAAATCTCTTCAGTGGCACATCTTCAAACGCTAACGTCCAGCATTTTTAATAGGTAGTAGCTGAGTACATTCTTTACAGATGCAAATCAGTATCACATTTTTTTTAATAAATTCGCGCATTCTATCTATCTTCAGAATTGAATAAAAGGAAATATTGCCTCTGGAACTGTAAACAGCAGAAAAATATCAGACCAAGGCATTATTGTGCAAAATACTTGTCACTTTCTTCAGGCTCCCAGATACGGGGTGTCGCAAAATGAACGTTATGATTTAAATTCATCATAACTTTTTTTAGAGCAGGAATTAAAATAAAACAACTGTTCAAATATGATATGCTGATGGCGAATTAGGCATGAATGTTGGTATCTCGCAAGTGGTGGCCATGTTCGGCTGCACATATTCGTGCTCTTTCCAGAACATTCTATATCACATTTCGCAAGATTTTGGGTCTTTCGAATATCCCCAAAGGAAGAAGTCAGGAGCGGTTAAGTTCGGTGAAAGTGGAGACCAACGTAAATCGGATCTGCACGAAATAATGGGATCCTCAAAAAAATATTCCTTCATTGAGCCGTTGACTCTCTTGAGGTATGTGTTGTAGCTCCATCTTGTTTAGTTGTGATAGTTTTCCACAGCTGGCACCGAAAGGTCTTGAGGCATCACTCGATATTAAGCACCAGTGAGCGAAACATTGCACCAACTTAAGGGGTGTAATGGTCGCTGGATTCTCTGTAGCCCATATTCTGCAGTTTTGCTTGTTGACGAAACCATTTAATTGGAAATGGGCTTCACAACTCATTATGAATGAAATTAGGATGTTCTTCTGCTTTTTGCCGAAAAACAATGGGGTATTCAAGTCGCTGTTAGAAGTATAGCGGCTTTAGTGCTAACACAAGCTAAATTTTGTAAAGAAACATGTGTGGTGTATGCAAAATTCTCTTCAGTGACGGTCGTGATAACCTAAGGTCTGTCGAAAGTCTGCTTGTTGTGGTTTCAGGACTGTTCTGTAAACTTTCACGTAGGCATCCAATATCTCCACCAGTTTGCACCGTGCTTGTCTTCAAGTACCACGACGGTTAATTACTGTCCCGTGTTATAAAAAATTTACAACAAGATGATCTATTGTTTGCATTAACGGTAGCGACGAAATGCACGCTGAGTTAACCCAACGACCGTTGGCTTTCAAAATAAAAATCTATGATCCTGATTCGTTGCTCTGTTGTGTATTGCCTCATACTAAATTCTTGATGCCTCCTTTACTCACTCTTGCAATGAAAAAATATAATATTGAAAAATAAATAAAATATGAATAAATCAAACCATATCGGAATCCTACTTGTGCTTCTTTGGATCATTAGATTGTTCTTGAACATGACTGCAGTACTTCCTAATGTGTTCTGAACCGAGGAGCTAGCACATGTCAGATTGATGATGTGTCCTTCCTAGTTGTCTAACTTTTACTGGTAGCTCAAGTCGAAATAATTGTTGTTGTATTCCAAGACGTCCCACACAATTCATTTGTCAATTTCTTGGTTACGGTAAGACGTTTGATCCAGAATTATTATGACAAATTCATACAGAAGCATAAAAAAATCAAAGGGAAAACTAATTACAACTGAAAAAGATCTGATAATGCCACTGAGTCCTATAAATAAATAAAATAAAACTAGAATTCTATTTCCATAACAAAATATTCGCTCATGAATACTTTATCAGCGTACGTGGACCCTTCATAAATATGAATTCATACACAATGAAGTAATCCGCATGCTACAGAATCAGTTTTATTCAGCCGTGTAGTAATAATGCACTAGATATTTTGATTTGTAGGAAAACCCTTACAACTACCGGCCTATCGCTCTGCTTTCTGTTATAAGTAAGGTGATGGAGAGGTGTATAAATCGCGAGCTTCTGGACTACCTCGAAAGTCACAGCTTGATTAGCGACAGGCAGTATGGTTTCCGGCACGAACGATCCACAGGGGCCTCCTAGCTTACGTCACGCAATTGTGGAGTAAACTCATCCAGTCTTACGGTGAGGCTCATGTCGACATCACGAAAGCGTTCGATCAGCTGTGGCCCGCGGACCTCTTAAGCAAACTTCCATCCTATGGCCTCCCAGAAAAGCTTTGCAGATGGGTGGTTGAATTTATCTCTGGCCGCAAGGTATCCGTCCGTAATTGACGGGTTCTCTTCTTTATCCCACAACGTCAACGCGGGTGTTCCCCAGGGATCGGTCTTGGCTCCGACAATATTTCTCTTACATATCAACGACCTTCTTTCCTGCACGACCAACCCAATCCACAGCTTCGTTGATGACAGCACTCTACATGCAGGAATTCAGAGTGACAAGCCGATCTCTGCCGCTGAGCTGGAAAAAGACGACAAGCGACGACTTCCTCTCTCGCAAGAGACCTGGAGGCTATCACTGCTTGGGGACGCAATAATCTTGTACAGTTCAATGCTTCCAAAACACATTACTGTACTTTGACGAACAGAAAGCGTCCTAGCGCTCATCCGGTTACGATGGATGGCCGAGTTCTGCCAAAGTGTCATTCACTTCGGCTGTTCGGAGTCCAGATCACCGAGGACCTGATCTGGCACGAACACATTTTGTCAATAGCTGCAGCTGCTGGGAAAAAGCTAGGCTATTTGTTTAGGGCTAAGAAGTACTTATCTTCGCATGACCTTCTCACTCCATACAAGGACCAGATAAGGACTAGCCTCGAGTATTGCTCACACGTTTGGTGTGCTGCCGCCCCGACTACATTATCCATGCTCGATGCTGTCCAGAGGAGGGCGGTCCGACTGATCGATGACTCTTCTCTAACAGACAATCTCGGGACTCTTTCGCACCGGAGGACCGTCGGCGATCTATCTCTTTTCTACCGCTACACCAATGGGCTTTGCTCCTCAGAGCTGTCTTCCATGATGCCGGTGCGCGATGTGCCTGCCAGACAGACCTGCCTGACTTTGGCGTCCCATCCTAACCGTGTCGAACTTCGTACATCCAGAACTGGCCGATACGACCGCTCCTTTGTCCCGAGGGTGTCGAGATTGTGCAACGATCTACAAGAAGTAGCTTTTCCCAGTTCTACTAACCTTAGGTAGTTCAATAATCGTATTAACAAAATTTCGTTGGGATCATCATAGCAGCCGCGGTGTTCCGGCATTTGGGCTTCTGCCTGTGTGGCTGCTTCGATATACAAAAAAAATAATGCAAATCGCCTCAAGATAAATAAATTAGTAAATAAGTAATTTAGATTCAGGGACTGTAAAGACAAACTTGAAGAGTATGTCTATCCACTATAGTGGTGTAGTGCTTTAGGCAAAGCAACCTAATATCGATCGTGGACCGTTGCCGAATTCGTTAATTGGAATGGGGTACAAGGAGCCAAGCCGACTTGTTTACATTGCTTTGTTTGGCGCCGAAATTGCAAGGTTTTTAGTGACTGATTTGGCTACCATTGGCTATCAAGGCGACAGGTTTGTATCATCATAATAAAGATCTATCTTCATTAGACGTGTGCCGCTCTTTGCAAATTGTGAAAGAAGTGTCACGTCCTGCAATAATCTAACACCACAGTTATCTGCAAACCTTGCACTTTGAAAAAATAAGACAAAAAATATGAGTATATTGACAAAAAATTAACTTATGTCAAGTCCACTTGTATTAAGCACTCTTGCCCTGACTTCTATCTAGTTTGAAGTCACTGATCGTAGGTGCTCTATATCATCTGTTGCTAAGAGACACATGAAGGCGTCTAATGGCAAGAGGAACATCATAGAATTATTACTCAACTATATTATAGAAAAAAGGACAGATAAGAGAATCTGAGCATCAGTTTCTATTTTTAACTTTACCAGGACATCTTATTATACGCTTATCATCACAATCTGTGCAATCTACTCAGTTTTGTGAACGGTGTATATTTTGTATTATCTCTGGAGCAAATAAAAGTACCAATCTGTGTCGAGGGATTCAGAGTTTCCTGGCAATTATTTGCCAGGCAGTAATAAATACCCAGATTTTCAGAGTAAAAAATTCAGGAGGGGAGCGAATCATCCAATTTGGCAAATCCCGAAACATGAACAAAATCTTCTGTGCTAGCGAATGCCGACAATAAAGCAGCATTGTGTTCTAACTGCCCGCCGGAGAATCGGGTCGGATCACAATTTTACGTTGTTATGAAGAATTTCGCGAACCATTTCATCATCGGTATTGCCTCCCCATTGTCAAACAATAGCCTGGGTAACTGCCCTGCTACAATTTTTATACCGATGGAAACTATATTGCACGGGCTTCCAAATTCGTGGAAAAATAGAATAAGAATGAATTTGCCGGCCTGTACGCTAATGTTTAGATATTTGCAAATCTTGACAAAACAATCAGTATGCGTTTTAAGAAAAATGTCCCTCCTAAATACAGCTTTCCCTGGTATCCACAGAACTCTAGCCTCTCTTATAACTTAAATATCCCTAACAGCGCGAGATATTACAGTATTATATCGTACAGTACAAAACACGTTCAAAAATCCATACAACTCTATGGTGATGTTTACAAAGTGACTAGCTCGCTACGTGATATTCCGTGTGGTTAATATATCTCTGTGCTAAGAGATAGTGCAGCGCTAGTATGCTTACGGTGCACGTAAGACTGAACTTCAGTTCAGTGAAGATGCACCAACTCATTTATCCCGTGCACTGTGTGATAAACTAGTGCTAAGCACGTCAGCTAGACCGTGACATCCAGCTTAGCGCTAGTCTAGTATAAGGCGCATGATGCAAAATGGTGCTGCTCCATCTCTTGGCAAAGAGCTCCGTTAATGCACCGAACGGCACGATTCTGTGGTTAGCTAGCCACAGTTTAAACATCGCCAGTGATACTTGGAAAAAACACTACCCTAGCTCATGCCGAAAAGTCCGGATAGTCTCTTCTTCATCACATTATTACAATATATTGAGCCTCCTACTCACATGACCAAAGCTAGACCAGTGCCAATCCCTAGAGCTAATGTCCAGAAATAACGACGGCGACATAAGCGAATGGCTAACTTTCAATGATGTCAATATAGCAAATTTTTCCCCACATTTAATGGACTCTTCTTTCATTTGGCGGAAGCAACTGCTAATCGCGATATTTATTTATGCTGGTATTTTTCAATTTTAATCTTTATTTTCATCCTTTTCGTAATTATTCTTTCTATCAGAGCTTAATCTTAGTCTTAAAAATAGGACTATTTCCGAGAATGAAGACATTCAATTTATTTTATCTCCTATCTCTCTCAATTTTCATTGACATGTACACCTATGTACCAATTCATGTTCCAAGGTTTGTATATCTGTTAAGTGAAATTTCTATGATTCAGTTAAAAAGCAATGAAATTATATCTGCTTAAAATGGGTAATTGACAAAAAATACCTGTAAAAATAGTGTCCTTATCAACGGCAAAGTGCAGACATAGGCCAAACAAATCAACAATAATTTAACAGGATGACCAACCACGATCCTACAAGAGATCCATTTACATCATTGCATTGCAAAACTGGGGTATGCCTTTTGTGCTTAGCAGATCGTGGGTATCAATGTGACGAATTTTAGGCGTTGGTACCCCTGCCAATATTGGCGCTAATGACCGAAAAGGTTGACTGTTGTTGTCATACCGAGTATCGATTATATACATATATATTCAGGGTGGCCAAGTAAGAATGCTAGGTACTGTATCTGGGAACCTATCCATCGTAGAGGCTTGCGGCATAAAAAAATAAAACGGCCAAAAGGAAGACCTGGAAAATAAAGTTTCTGAAATTGCCGCTAGGGGGCGTAACTGCAATCTTGAATCCAAAAAAGTGATGTTTTTGTGAATTCCGTTATATCAGCCTAACAAAAAAATACCTGATCTTCAAAGTCGATGATAATGTGAACTTTCTTTGTTTGGCAACTTTTGCTTTATCTCTAAAAATAAAATGTTGGGGGGTACTCAAATGTTTCGGTGATCAGAAGCCCCATTCGAGCTAGTTGAAAAGCGCCAAAAGGGTTTCTTCGACATTCCGAAACAAATGTTTAATTTTGAAAATTAATTAATTTTTTAAACATTATGAAAAGGTAGCTAAATCATGAAGAGTGTATATATCAATTGGTTCTTGTTTTTTCAAACTAATTCTTCTGAAATACTTTTTTATTGGTCAGAATAAAATCACCCTCTTTGAAAATATTACAAAATATCGCTACAAGGTGAGTTAGTAATGCTAATAACAAAAAAGAGTCAATTGATAGAAGCAGGCCATGGTAACAAATACCTAGTCAAAACATAGTTTGACCAATTTTTGTGCTCACGAAATGCGTTTCACGAACGATGAAGCTCTTGATATGCTTGCAGTTTATTTTGAGTGTCTTCAGAATGCCGCAGTAGCAAGACTTTACGCGATATCCAAATCGGCATCTTTGCGATATAAGAGTTTTTCACCGATTAGTGGCCAGCTTACGAGCCAATGGTAGTTTTCGGCCTACGTTTCAGCGGCAAAGGATTGGAAGAACACAAGAAAATGTTGATCGTGCACTGGGATATATTGAACGAAATCCCCATGTTAGCATAAGGGCGTTATCCCTTGAGTTGGGCATATCACGAACAACGGTTCAAAATATTTTTAAGAGCTATATGTATGTTCTAATTGCCATCAAAATACCCGGATTTATTTAGATTTAACTTTTTTCAATTACTTTGAAAAGGAAGACTTTGATCAGCGGCTGGACATTGGATGTTATGCATGATAAGCGAAAAAGGGGAATTTTTATTCCAAATTCTCTGGACCGATGAAGCCACCTTTAATAGTGACAGGAGAGTCAATCTGCAATTATTGGTCTGCAGAAAGTCCGCATTGGTTGCGTGACGTTCAGCACCAAGGGCGTTGGAGCCTACATGTGTGTATGGCGACTGGGAGGCAGAATTATTGGATTATATTTTATCGAGCAATCCCTGACTGGCAATGTATTTAGTGACTTTTTTTTACAATCAATTATCGTTGTTGTTGCAAAATGTGCCACTGTACACACGGCAAAACTTGCTTTTGCAGTTGGATGGCTGCCTGGCACATTTTACTATTATTATACAAGAGAACATTAATGCAGTATTTCAACAGCGGTTGATTGGAAGAGAAAGTCTGTTTCCATGGCCTTCGCGATCATCTGACTCAAGTTGTCCATATTTTTATTTATCGAAGCAGTTGAAGGACGTCGTGTTTCAGACTCAACCTACAACCAGAAAAGATATGAAAAACCGGATTGGAAATGCAATTCGTAACAAACCAAAAGCCAAATTGAAGCTGCAGTTTTGTTTACCCATGAGGCTTTAGAAATGCATGGAGCACTTACAGGGGCATTCTTTTTTAAATCGGTCCTTATTAGGACCACAATTTAATAATAAGAAGAAATTCCAATTATAAAGAAATAAAAACTTCGAGCTTGTTTATATCATACTTTACAAGTAGTATCCATCACGCTTTGGCATCTACTGGAGTGAACAGCTGATCAGTATTACTTTGCGACGCTGGCAATAATGAATCGGGTGTAAATCTAGTAAAACTTGTTTGTAGCGTTTTGTTTTTTGTATGCAAATGAACTTTTCCAGATAAAAAAGCAGTAAACAAGTACAAAATGAACCTGTAACGCACAAAAAACCAAAACAAAATACGGCTCCGCCTAACTGACGATGATCCGTCAAAATTATGTGTCCTGTGCCAATACGGGGAATTGTGAGATATTACTATATAATCAGTCGTCATTCTACTGTGATGGAAACTCGTGAAATAGGGTATAGTCATTATTTAGCTACTTTTTCATAAAAAAAATCATACCGATGCATCGAATTTTTTTGAGAAGGAGCGTCGAAAAAATCCATCTAGCAGCCACATGTAAAGCTAACAAAACTTCAAAAATTGTAGCATTTATAGCTCAAGAATGGCTCATTTCAACCAGTCCAAGTTTGTTAAAATAGGCTTAGCCGTTTGGAAGGTACGGTTTTTACAGAAACCTTTGAATACCCCCCACCCCTTTATTTTCAGAGATACAGCAAAAATTGTTAAACGAAAAAGTTCACATTATCCTCGACTTTAAAGACCAGGTATTTTTTTGTTAAATTGATGTAGCGGAATTCACAGAAACATCTCCTTTCTTAGATAGCAGCCATTTCAGAAGCTTGAAAATATTTTATTTTTTTCTTTTGGCTGTTTTGGTAAGAACTTTTTTGCCGCAAGTATCTACGATGGATAGGTTCCCAGATACAGTACCTCGCATTCTTAGTTGGCCACCCTGTACACGTCTGTACGTATTTATTTTTGTGATATAGGTTACGTTCTAGTTGTGGCTTTACTGACCTGTTAAAACACATACCTATGTAGAATCTTCTATCGTCAACAAGTTAACAATATCCTACAACTAATCATGGTTCACCTTTACAATAGCTCGATACAGACCAGTGTAAGGTGGTTCCACCAGCATACATAAATATGCGGTGTCGTGGTGTTTACTAAAATGGCTCAGCCTAGGTCATTGTGAACAAGGGGCTTCATTCACATATTGAAAGATCCCATTACCTGTATCCTTTGGTATGTGTCAGTCATCATAGCGATAAGCAGATTTATCAAAACTACTACAGATACCAACATGTAAACGCCAAAGACAACCTTGAAGAGTATATCTGTCCACCATGGTTGATTGTTGCTGTAAGGGTTATTTTTCTGGTATCCGGGTATCCTGAGCATCACCACTTCCGTCTGTCCAAACACTGCGAAGAACAGTAGCTCGAAGGCACTGACAGGGTTCTTCTGTACTGAAAGTAAGACGAGATTGGATGGCATTACCTGAATCCGCTGATAGGTGTCTGACATCATAGCGATGAGTAGATTGATCAAGACGACCACCGAAACCAGCATGTAGATTCCAAATACGATCTTGAAGAGATTGTCGGTCCAAGACGGTCGATAGGGCTCTTTAGGGTTGTGACTCTTCACCCTCAGTTCATCGTAGGTAGTTTGACCAAATACAGCAAAAAATAACAGCTCGAACGACACCAGCGGGTTGATAATCACTAAGGAAGGAAAAAGAAACCGGAGAAAAACCGCCAGTCAGTACGACCCTGAAAGGTGAAGCCAGGATGCACATTTGGTTGGAATTTACCAAATATGTTGCGGTTAGTGACAATTCAACAATATTCCAATTTATGTGGTATATCTGAAGCCACAGTACTTAAAAAATATGCAGTTGTGGGGCTATCTACTGTTATTTTTTGTCCTTAAACATGTTTATGCTTCGTCAGCTTTTTGCGTAAAATAATGACATAGTTACTAACTAAGAAGTTGAGCTGAAAGTATGACATATTATAAACTTAATAAGTTGGTATCATGCAGCGTTTTATGCCAAGCGATAAGCTGGTCTGACTTAACAACCAGATGTACCTGACGTTGTAAGCGACAGAATATAGAATGTGATATATAGAATATGCAATGAGAGGAAATAAGCCGCAAAATGCATTATGAGTGGATAGCCACGATATAGGGTGTAAAGTGTAGGTAGATCCAAGGAGATATGATGAAGGTCACTCGACTAAAATCATCATGACAGGCACGACTATAACTAGTTTAAAGGTACTCACGAGCACTGGCGTAACAAAGCACACTTTATGGTACAAATGGTATCATAACTGGATACTGAGTCCAGTAGGAATATGATAAAAAAATATAAACGCAAAATGTCATTGTTACCCTCTAGTCGATGATAACCATACACTGCACAAATGGATATTAGTGACGTGACATTCATCTTCTTGGAAATAAAGAAGTGTATCTGAAAATTATTCTTAGAGGATTATATTCATTGTGTATACTCACCGGTTGTATACTGTTCCAGTTCTTATGAAACGATCTGTCACCTGGATAAATAAGACATCTTTTTTCAAGGACTCTTTAGCCGAATATCTATCAAACTGGTGTTTGTCACATAATAAGTAGCTCAACCTGATCTGTTGTGAGGTTGTTAGGACAACACCTGATTACTGAGATATGAATCAAAATAACCCTTATCGCTAACTCACAAGGTAATTTGTACTTCTACCGCTAGGCCACGTTTTATGTTATGGATAGCAGAAAAAATAACAAAATCAACTAATGTATATGACTGTTGAAAACCATGATTAGACAAGGTAAATCTGAAACTGGGGCGTAAAATGAACTTCATTAATTTAATACTGTTAGTGTAAATAGTTTTGGGTGGCCTACAATCAGAAAATATTAGCATAAAGTTTTATCGCCTATAATTCAGCTATTAACGTCAAATCGTTGAACGTTCCTGCAAAAATAGTTAACACACTCAACTTTTTTTCAGGACAAATTTACAAGAAAGCCGACAATGTGTCCCTTAAAAGGTGAGGTGTTTTATTACTCAAGTAATTTCATATTGGTAAAATTAAAATGAAAATGAAACGACGTACTCGGTATTCAGCATTAACCGTTTGTATGAACAATGTTTAACTATACCCTCTTTAAAATGAATTATGACTGCAAAGCAATACGGAAACTCGGCCAGAGAATTTCCACATAACGAAAACAAACGCTGAAATGGTAATTTCATGCTGCAGTAAAATAACGCAAATCCAATGATTACACTGTATATTGGTGCCGAAGAACGGGAAAATGCAACAATTACAAAACGTTCTCCCGACCTCGCTCAGTGAATTTCAACACTGCTTTTATTTCCCATCATATATGCGAGCTTTTTAATTAACAGTGGGTACTGTCAAATCATTGTTAAGGATGGAAACTGCAATCATGCACAGGCAATTTCCCGGATGTACAAGGACTTTATTCTGATAGAGTACCCTGTCTTGTAGCCACGCAGTTTGTGGACTAATGTATACCGAGAGATGACCGAGGGCATCAAATAAAATAATTTCTCCTATGGTGTTGGGCAGTGGTGGGAATAATCCTCCAAATAGATAGTTATATTGCAATCTTGAAATTTAAACTAGCATCAACTGCAGATTACTCTTATGCCAGGTTGCAGCCACTTACTAAGGTCAAGTTGAAGCTAAACTGATTCTCAATTTCATTATCTCTTTTGCACGAGGTGGACTTGGACAGTTATGCTAAGTCTACGGATTGCTCTGCTAAAACGTACTTCAGCTTTGACAACTGTTCGTCGACCATTATACTGGAAGAACGTCACCATCGGAAATATCGTACAATAAAAAGGATTTTTAAACATATCTGGTTTGATCCGGCCAGACAAACTTGGAGGATTAAGTGGAATGAAGTGGAAGTTACATGTGAATCTACAGAACGATACGGCAGTTACCCGTTTACCAAGCCGGGCCTCCAGTAGAAGATAAACCTGAATTTCTAAGTCACAACATTATCAAATGTTTTACGAGCCGCTTTAGCTGACCTAGTCTATTTAATTAAATCATTATGTTTGTACATGTATAACTTCTGATCTTTTATGAACTGTTGACTTCCGTTGCGTGGGTTATGTAGTCTACCCATTTGTCACTGTTTTTCATATGTTGACTAATTAATAATAATAATAATGCGTTTATTGCCCAACAGCGAATACCATTTACAGAGCAAAAAGTAGTAGTATAGCTTACATGGTAGTTACAGCACAAAATGAAAATATCTTGGAAAAACAAAAAAAGAACAGAAATAGAAGAAACATGAAAAACTTGACCAAAATCCATCATGGATGAGCTCGAGATTTAGTCTTTAATTCACAGACACTGCAGTGAAAAGTATCACGTACACCTGAAATTTTGTTGGTATTTCGGCACATAAAATTAATCGGAGCCTTTAATAGTAAGTTAGTTTGAGCTCTTTTGCACAGGAAAATATTGTATTGTCTAGATGTTATTCTAGGAACCAGAATATCCGCTTGAGCTAACAATATAGGAATATCTAATATTCCATTGAAAAGCTTGTGCCAGAAAAGTACAGGTAGCTGATACCTACGGCTCTCCAAAGACTAATAATAAAATCTATGTAGTAGCTCAGGATAACTACAGCCTCTTGGTGGATACACAATATCGATTTTAAAAGCTATGAATTTCAAAAGTTTCTTTTGTGCTTTTTCAATAGCAACGATGTATTGGATATATATATATATGTATAGGACTCCAGCAAAATTGTTCAAAATGGATATTCCCATGTAGTTAGTGATGATATTGGAAGCTTAACTTTTGAACATAAGGCATATTTTAGCAATTTTAAACTTTTTGTCAGGAAAAACGGAAGTATTCAGTGTCAAATTAAACAATACTTTTAGTGGCCTTGCTAGTACTGCTATGCAGTCTTTAAGAAAGAAATATGGAATTTGATCTGGCCAAGAAGTGAACTTGTTTTTTAATTTTCGTCCAACTTTTGAAATTTCGCCCTCAGTTATCGCTACGTAGGTAATATCCAACAGATCGCGTCCTTGAAAGTCAAAACTAAGTTGTTTATCAGTAATATCAGGTACAGAGTAAACACTCCCAAAAAACTAAGCTGAAGCATTACAGATATTTTTAGGATCATTGAACATTTCATTTTCATCAGACATTTGTCCAGGAATCCTAGAAGTATTATTTTTTTGACGCATGAATGCCCAAAATGATTTGGGTTCATGTTTTAACTGATTTTGAATTTCTTTTAGGTACTGATCATAAGCTTTCTATGGTATCGAGTTTGTAGAATAGACTACCTGAGGAAGTTTTTTCCAGTTCTACTAATCTTGAGAATTTGAAAATCGGACTATCAAGTTCTCTATAGCAGCCGCGGGGCCCCGGTATTCAGGTTGTTGCTTAAGCGACTGCTTTGTATGTTATGCGTTTGTATACTTTGTTATTGTGATTCTCAACTTAAAAGAATTCTGAGACAAATAAACGCGATTTTAGGAGGATCTGCTTTTTATATCCACAAATACCCTCAATTGTGAAATCTTCTAAGTATCCATTTCTCAGTTACCTCAATACGCAATTTTGTCTCCGCTACGCCAACCTCCTATCACTTCTTGCCATTTCCTTTATTCAATTGGTAGAGTCCGAATTTAAAACAAACGGTGAGTACGGCTTTTTTGCGGTACTGGCCGTTGGCGAGATGTTCATGGTATCGCAGATAATTTCTCTGTAAGATCTGATGAGAGGATAACCTTTTTCGATGCTCTCTCTACTGTCCTTCAGGGCATGTTACAAATCTATCTTCTATAAAGCTGCATGTCTCTCACCTTTAAATCAACCCCAAGAAATAAAATTCAAGTGATCCGGTTGTTCATAAGGGTTTGTAATATATATCAAATATACCTGTAGCCAGACATTAGCGGGCACTTCTTTATGTTGACTATAGCTGCTAATAGCTCATATAATGTAGCTTTTTTTTGTCAAAAACGAAATCGTACTCAAGAGCTAACAGGCTATCGTTCTATAGTGCAGCTAAAGTTGATGATGAAATGGTAACACAATTTTCCATAACAACGCGAACCTTTTATATGATGCTCTTTCTATAAGGCTAACCGAGTGAAGTCATAAAAAGGTACCTACATCTTTTGATGCTCCGAAAAATAGTTATACGGTACCTCAAAAGCTGTGGTTACTATTTACTCATGACTCCCAAATCCCAAAGGTTCATGCAGGAAAGCACTGTAAGTTATTGTATTACTATAAAATTATTGATCTACTGTTCTATGCATCGACCGCTAGTTCATTTTACCTGTATCCTTTGGTATGTGTCAGTCATCATAGCAATCAGCAGATTTATCAAAACCACCACAGACACCAACATGTACACCCCAAAGACAAACTTGAAGAGGACGTCTGTCCACCATGGCTGATTGTTGCTGTAGGGGTTATTTTTTTGATACCCTGTTGTCCTGAGACTCTCCACTCCAGTCTGTCCAAACACCGCGAAGAACAACAGCTCAAAGGCACTGATAGGATTCTTCTGGACTGAAAGTAAGACGAGATTGGATGGCATTACCTGAATCCGCTGATAGGTGTCTGACATCATAGCGATGAGTAGATTGATCAACACGACCACCGAGACCAGCATGTAGACGCCGAAAACGATCTTGAAGAGATTGTCAGTCCAAGGCGGTCGATAGGGCTCTTTGGGGTTGTGGCTCTTCACCCTCAGCTCGTCGTAGGTGGTTTGACCAAAAACGGCGAAAAATAGCAGCTCAAACGCCAGTAGTGGGTTCATGGTCACTAGAGGGGGGCAAAAAGAAACCGGACGAAAACCGCCAGTCAGTACGGCCCTGAAAGGCGAAACCTGGACGCGATACTGGTTCTACTGGGAAACATGGCAAATATGTAGAAACTCTACAAACTTTGAAGTCATAACATCAGTGAAAGTTTCATACCCTTTCATCAGATATGTCGGGGTTTTTTGAAGGTCGTGGCATAATTACACCTGAAGCCCGTGACAAAGTTAGCGGATGGGGCTCTCTCTCGATATTGAGACTTTCCCCTAAGGTTATTATTTTTATTTTGACTGTAAACATTCTCATCGTCAAGTAAATTCATAAAACGCAATAAAAATTTACTGGGTTTCCAGCAGCATTCAATTTAAAGAGCGAATCGAACTGAAATTGCAATTTCTGCTTGAGATAAAGTCGGTTTTAGCAAAATTCTGTTTTTCGGTGTTTCTGTTCAGCAAAACTCCATCAAGGCCCTCGAACTGCGCTGTGTTCGGAGGGAAGGATAACCATTTTGGTACCAATCTGTGAGATGCTACCTATCTCCATCAGTCTTACTAGAGCTCGCGCCATCTGAATTTTATTAAATGCCGGATATGTTCTATAACTGACTAGGTTATGGTATATCTCTCTCTGTCTCTTATAAATAAATTCAGATTTTGATGCAGTTTTCACGCATGCAACTAAAATTAATTAAATATAGAACTAATAGGTTCTACTAAGTGATATAATGGTAAACGTTAGTACGCTTCTATGGCCGGAGATCCCTATCACCTTGGGTTTGTGGTATTTTGCCCGCCCCGCTATACTATTTTTACACCACTATTTGAAGAAGTATCTTGAAATAAAGGAGACTGGAGATCTAGAGCTTCAAATACAGGAAGTATCACCTAATTAGAGGAGACAGGTCATTTGTTAATGTAGAAGTGCAAACATACATAGTAAAAAAGTAAAGTGAAATATGACAAAATTTGTCTACTAGTTTAACGGAGCTTACGTTACCAATAGCAATTTTGTTTTACAGTCAGTGAAGATTTCCTTCATCGAAACTTCCATATTTTTCATTTAACGTCTTTGAATCATGCTACCCCTAGATTAACAATACATATTGAGCCATCGATGAGGTAAAAGTGAACAACACCTTATATAGTGATACCGATAGCTTTAGTTTTTTACCAAACTATCAGCATCGACGTAAGATAAGCCCAAAGCAGTATATTTCATGCCATAATTGCACGAGATGCCAATAAACAATTTCATATCCATTAAATATCAAAGCAATAATCGAACAGGGCTTATGTATATAGTGACTAGCACAAACCGTTTATAGTAACAAAGTTTAATTATACCCCCTTTATCATAAATTATGACTGCGTACCGTACAAAGCACTGGCAACATGGAATTTCAGCATAACCAAAGCAAACATGGAATAGTAATTTGGTGCGGCACAACACGGAATCAGTGATTACTCTGTAAAACAATGTTAATACTGAAAGACAGGAAAACACTGCAATTAGAAAGTTTTCTACAGCTAGTTAATGTAGAAAATGCCTTTCTGCCACATCGTGCACACTGTTGCTCAACAATTCGAGCTATAAAATTACTCTTGAGGACATTGTGACTCCAGGACTATGTAATAGTTGTAACACAAAACTCATTTAAATATTACAGCAACAGTAACAATCGATATACGACTAAGCGCAGCCCTTTCCAAAATATATTTTATGGATGGAGTGTAACATAAATACTCAATTAGCACATAGTTGTTTTCAATTTTTAGTTACCCCATTAATTGGTGAAAAATTACGGAAACGAAGTACCTACTATGTTTTTGAATGGTATAACATGAACATGACGAAGGACTATATCATTTCCGTCGGTATATCTATCGATATGTCGGTTAGGCTGTAAATATTTCCACTAACCTTCAACTCCTCTATAACTTGGATAAGACCAGCCGGATCTTGGTGGAATTTTGACAAAAGATTCCTAGTGTATTAATAATGAAAAAGCTTTTAGCCGCGTCTTAAAGATTTATTCGGTGGTTGCTCTACTTCATTGTTAGCATGTCAGAAGTTTCTTCACATTTCGAGAAAAACATTTTTTAAGGATAGAATACTAGGGGCCGGGCATTGTAGAGAGCGGGGGTTTTAAGTGTTGCTTTTACGGTATCAGAAAAATGGATCACATTTTGAAGCATCTGAGCTCGGTAACACTATGCATCTACCAGACAACTTAAAAAGGGGGTAAGCTAAAGTCGTGCCAACTGAATACTACGTTCATTGCTACACGGCACAGCTGTCGATCTAAATCAACTTGCCTAAGCGGCAAAAGTTTATGCCCCTTCTTATGTACAGGCATACCTCCGCGTTGGCCATAAACGTGTATTGTATTATTATATTACTGCTATAGTATCAGCGAAAGACGTTCTATTATTAATTGTCTGATCCCAGTAGTATTCATCACTTATTAGATGTAGTCTTTATATCTGTCGTCCATTTGTTCGCCAATGAAACAGAAGAGTGATGTTTATTCTAGTAGAATACAAAATAATATAGATCTGTAGCGCTTTACGATATAATAATTATTATAGATGTCTTTGTTATACAACAATTGATGTACGTATCATATTTAATTTAACATAGCCGTTTTCATTAGAGCATCTTAAATAACTTTTGTGTCGAATGTGTCGACTCCATGTCTCACATACAGTCTAATTTATTAATATTGAATAAAATGTCGTATGGTGTTGGATCTGGATAGAATCTGAATGTAGTCGAATTGATGACAGACTAGGATGGGAAGTCCAGAATCAACCCGCTTTACGCCATTCCTTATAGTAGCCTAGAAAAAATAAGAGTATGTGTGCAGACACTTTTGAACCACCTCTTGCTTACAGAATCTAGTTATACTCATACAAACTGATTAATTGTAAAATGTCGTAAGTGGGTGGGGAAGTAGCATCTTATCAATGATGATGTGCGCACAGATGACCCACCAGTTATATCATATTGTAATATTTGCCATGTACCCCTGAACCGAATAGAAAGGGACAGCACACTACGATTCTACACATCACGTCATTCGGAAATATATCATATATGCATAGACCTGTCTCTGCATCACAGTACCGTGAAATTTCCCTTGAATCAATCTGCAGCTCTCTGAAACTTCACACAATAAATATTAAAAACTTCACTCAACTCGTCCGCTAAACTTTTAAAGTCAAGTCGAGGCGTCGTCACATCTGCATCGGTGCATTAATCTTACAAAAACTTTAGACTCTCAGTGGCGTCCACATGTGGGAGGCTACAGATCAAATTTCACAAAATTAGAAATACTGGTACTGGAAACATGTATTTAAGTCATTTGAAAATACCAATAAAGGAACAGAAATTCACAGACCGTATCAGAAATCCGAGTTTAAGGTATGTACTTTCTGACATCAATCAAATCTAATGTTGACAGTAATAAATCACCATATAATGCTCAGCTAATAATGTGCGTTACTCATTTTAAATAATCAGTGTCTAAAAAACTTTAGCACTAACCTATGTATGTTAATCCAAATCTACTCAGGAACTGTACCGAAGTCAGTTATTTCCAGAAAGCCTTCGTTTGGTATCAATTTCCACAAATCTATAGAAGCTTCAGAAATTTTTTTTCGTGGACACTTTCTCGACTAATAAAGCCTTTAGTGCATGAAAATCTTATAATTCGGTAATTGGTTATGGAAAGTTTCATGAATATGTGTACATTTTGTTTTTTACTATCGAGGTCCTGAAATCTGCTCTCAAATTCTTTCTTAGAACAGTTGACAGAAGCAATATTGAGCTTCTCTTCAAAATGAGATGGAGGTGATATCTGCCCTGTAAGGGGAATTGACGGCATGCAATGTACGCAGATGCAAAGCTTTGTATGGGTGGCAGAAATTGTATCACTTGCTCGCGCATGCCATTCAAATATCGTGGGGCTCGGCAGCCTTGATCAAAGTAAAGCATACTTCAATACATTGAATTACAAAGTTTTATGCGCTAAAGGATCTTTCTGTAGAAAAAGTGTAAACGAGAAAATTCTCCAGACGTTTTTACAAATTTCTGGAAACTGGTACCAATATATAATTGCAGAAACCTTGCTTCTTTTATGATGCTTTACATCACCGTTACCGTACATTAAATTTGCGAGGAGATCTCGGGAACTCCCAAAGAGCTAAGTCACAGTTCAGAATTGTATTCTAACAGTAAAAAAATGATTGTTTGCTACAGAAAATGTAAATGCGTGAGAAATATCGAGACAATTCGCTCGTCTTCCCTTAGAAGCAACACGCCTCTGTGCAGGACCCCGTTACGGCAGTCTTATCGCTGTCTTTTGTTTAGCGCGAGGGAGTTGTCAGAAAGCCTGAATCGAAACTTCTGTTTACCTTTCTATTTATCTCAAGACGTTCAGATCCCGATTTTAATATCATTCCAAGTTGAGCCCGATTGTTCCGTGGTTGAGAAGTCACGCTACTTAGCTGCAACCGCAGAGACTAGCAAGCTAACTTTTGAATTATGTCAGTTAAACTTTGAGAGAGTGGTAAATTGCACAGAGAGGAACAACCACTTTTGTTTCCTTAAACATGATTACATGAAGCCACTCAGCTATGGACTATGTAGTTCAATTTGTTGGCCAACTTGCTTTTAGCTCACTGATCAATAGTTTAGTGATGGTTCCATGGTGTTTATAAAGGGTGGACCATTAGTTGTTTCTTT